AGAAGATGAGCCCCTCAGGTCAGAAGGTGTCCAATATGCTACTGGGGAAGAGCAGAGGGCTAGTACTGGTAGCTCCAGAAAGAATGAAGCGACTGGGTCAAAGCCGAAAGGACACTCAGTTGTGGATGTATCTGGTGGTGAAAGGAAAGTCCAATGCTGCAAAGATCTATACTCCATAGGAACCTGGAATGTAAGATCCATGAATCAGGCAACCTGGACGTAGTCAAACAAGAGATGACAAGGCTGAACATTGACATCTTAGGAATCAGTGAACTAAACTGAACAGGAATGGGTGAATTTAATTCAGATGACCATCAGGTATACTGCTGTGGGCAAGAATCCCTCAGAAGAAATGGAGTAGCTTTCATAGTCAAGAAAAGAGTAGGAAAAGCAGTACTGGGATACAGTCTCCAAAATGACAGAGTGATCTCCGTTCGAATCCAAGGCAAACCATTCAACATCACAATACTCCAAGTCTATGCCCCAACCACTGGTGCTGAATAGGCTGAAGGTGACCAGTTCTATGAAGGCCTACAACACCTTCTAGAATTAACTCCAAAAAATGATGTCCTTATCATCATGGGGGATTGGAATCCTAAAATAGGAAGCCAAAAGATAACCGGAATAACAGGCAAGTTTGGCCTTGGAGGACGAAATGAAGCAGGGCACAGGCTAGTAGAATTTTGTCAAGAGAATATGATGGTCATAGCAAACACTCTTTTCTATCAACCCAAGAGACGACTCTACACATGGACATCACCAGACGGTCAACGCAGAAATCAGATTGACTATATGTTCTGCAGCCAAAGATGGAGAAGCTCTATACAGTCAGTAAAAACTAGACCAGGAGCTGACTGTGGCTCAGATCATGAGCTTTTTGTTGCAAAATTTAGGCTTAAATTGAAGGAAGTAGGGAAAAGCACAAGGCCACCCAGGTATGACCTAAATCATATCCCTGATGAATATACAGTAGAGGTGACAAATAGATTTAAGGAATTAGATCTGACAGACAGAGTGCCTGAGGAACTATGGATGGAGGTTCGCAACACTGTACAAGAGGTAGCAACTAAAAATATCCCAAAGAAAAAGAAATGCAAGAAAACAAAATGGCTGTCTAAGGAAGCTTTACAAATAGCTGAAGAAAGAAGGGAAGCAAAAGGCAATGGAGAAATAGAAAGATACGCCCAATTGAATGCAGAATTCCAGAGAATAGCTAGAAGAGAGAAGAATGCCTTCTTCAATGAACAGAGCAAAGAAATAGAAGAAAACAATAGAATAGGGAGGACAGGAGATCTCTTCAAGAAAATTGGAGATATGAAAGAAACTTTTCATGCAAAGATGGGCATGATAAAGGACGAAAATGGCAAGGACCTAAAAGGGGCAGAAGAGATTAAGAACAGGTGGCAAGATTACAAAGAAGAACTATACAAGAAATACCTTAACGTCCCTGATAAGCACGATGGGCTGGTCACTGACCTCGAGCCAGACATCCTGGAATGTGAAGTCAAATGGGCCTTAGGAAGTCTGAGCAACAACAAAGCTAGTGGAGGGGAAAGTGTTCCAGGTCAGCTATTCAAAAGCCTAAAGACGATGCAGTAAAAGAGCTACACTCAATATGCCAGCACATTTGGAAAACTCAACAGAGGCCACAGGATTGGAGACAGTCAGTTTACATTCTAATTCCAAAGAAGGGCAATGCCAAAGGATGTCCAAACTACCGCACCATTGCACTCATTTCACATGCTAGCAAAGTTATGCTCAAACTCGTACAAGCTAGACTCCAGCAGTATGTGGACTGAGAACTACCAGAAGTACAGGGCAGAAGAGGCAGGGGAACAAGAGATCAAATTGCCAACATATGCTGGATCATGGAGAAAGTTAGAGAGTTCCGGAAAAACATCTACTTCTGCTTCATTGACTATGCTAAAGCTTTTGATTGTGTGGATCACAACAAATTGTGGAAAGTTCTTAAAGAGATGGGAGTACCAGACCATCTTATTTGTCTCTTGAGAAACCTGCATGCGGGTCAAGAAGCAACAGTGAAAACTGGACATGGAACCACTGATTGGTTCAAAATTGAGAAAGGAGTTTGGCAAGGCTGTATACTGTCGCCCTTCCTATTTAACTTATATGCAGAGCACATCATGGGAAAGGCAGGGCTAGATGAATCACAAATTGGAATTAAGATTGCCATGGGAAAGAGCAACAACCTCAGATATGCAGATTATACCACTCTCATGGCAGAAAGTGAAGAGGAACTAAAGAGCCTATTGATGGGGGTGAAAGAGGAAAGTGCAAAAGTTGGCTTGAAACTCAGTATTAAGAAAACTAATATCATGGCATCCAGTCCTATCACTTCCTGGCAAATCGATGGGGAAGAAATGGAGGTAGTGACAGATCTTATTTTCCTGGGCTCCAAGATCACTACAGACAGGGACTGCAGCCAGGAAATTAAAAGATGTTTGCTCCTTGGGAGAAAAGCTATGGCAAATCTAGACAGCATACTAAAAAGCAAAGACATCACCCTGCCAACAAAAGTACATATAATCAAGTCTATGGTTTTCCCAGTTGCACTGTATGGCTGTGAAATTTGGATCATAAGGAAGGCTGAGCACCAAAGAATTGAGGCCTTTGTATCGTGGTGCTGGAGGAGACTCCTGCAAGTCCCGTGAACTGCAAGGAGGTCAAACCTGTCAGTTTCAGAGGAGATCAACCCTGTCTGAAGGCCAGATATTGAAGGTGAAACTCAAATACTTTGGCCACCTAATGAGAAGGAAGGACTCCCTGGAGAAGAGCCTAATGCTGGGAACAATTGATGGCAAAAGAAGAAGGGGACAGCAGAGAATGAGGTGGCTAGATGGAGTCACTAAAGCAGTCGGCATGAGCTTAGGTGGACTCTGGGGGATGGTGGAGGACAGGAAGGCCTGGAGGGATGTTGTCCATGGGGTTGCGATGGGTCAGATACAGCTTCGCGACTAACAACAATAACAATTTTCTAATTGGAAGGTTTAGTGATTGTTATGTTTTATTGAGTGCAAACTGTTCAGAGAGTCAGCATAGCTTAATGAATAGTATAGAAACTTTTTAAAAAATAAATATGTAAATAATAAATAAATCCATGCTGAGGCCAACCCTACCCCCCCCCCCCACCCCACATCTTTTCCCGGCCACTTAAATGTATCGGTGTTGGGGGAGCTTTGTAGATCATTATTAGGATCATGGCTGGGCAGGGTCATACCTCTCTTCCTTGACATCCTGATGAATATCAAGCCTCCCCCCCCCCCACCCCGCCACCTTGCAAGCACACATGCAATACATTTCAAAGCTCCCCTCACCAATTGCAAAGTAGGCATTCAGCAGAATGGGTGTTTATTTTTTACTTGTTTATGTACTGAACTTGTATGCCACACCCCTTAGCCCTAAGGCTCTCTTAGCAGCTCACAATACATGTTTGGCTCCCTCCTGTCAAATTTCCTTTTAGAGTTGCCTCCCTTTTAGTTCCTCTCCTTGTGCTTGAGTTATATGAAATGCAAACAGTTAGCCTGGGTTGGTGGGGAGGGTGCTCTTTTGGGAGCGGGGAGTCTCTGAAGAGTTCTGTCAGAAAGAAGTATGCAGTCTCAGGTGCTTCCATGGCTGGGGAAAGCTGATGTGTTCATGCTTGAACAACAAATTGTTTTACTGACCAACGATCCCAGGGCTGGAACTCCCCTTCCACAGCACGATTCTTTTCTGGCTTGGCAAGGTGCCACTCTGAGTGAGCTGCCCTGACAAGGCCTCCCACGCACCACTGTCCCTGCATTTGGGGGCAGGGGAGAGAAAGTCACTTTTTGCTGTAGCATCCAGGCTAGTTGATATACTTGAAAGCTTGGACACCATTCTTCTGGGACTCCTCCAGCCTCTGTTTGCAGGCACTGGCACTTCTGGGTTGTATAAATCATCCTTCGAATAATATAACCTTTGGGCTCATCCCTTCTGGATGGAGATCCTGGGGACAGACTGAGACCCTGGGGCTCTGGAATTCCAGCCACAACCGGTCCAAAGCATCATCACTCCCTTGTTCTCCTGGCCCATGTGTCCCTGCATGACAGGTCTCCTATGTCATGAATGGGGGCTGCAATCAGAACAATCAGCTCTGACTCTGAGGATCCACTTCCATGCTGCTATGGGGCAAGGCTCTAGGACCATCTGGGGCAGTGGGACCTTGAGGAGCTGGCAGATGATGGATGGCACAATGCTTGGGGGACCCTGACCATAACGGTGCTCCAAGGGAAGGGCACAGGGGTGACTGGGGCCCTGAGGCAGGAGCAGGCAGCCTCTGCAAAGAGGAGGGTTGAAGAGGGTGAGCTGGGGCTGAGCCGAAGGGCTCCTGAGTTAGCTGGTGATGAGGCAGAGGCAGTGAGGGAGGGGGAAGAGAGCTAGGAGGCTCAGCTCCCAGGAACCAGGTAGGAGGAGCTGGAAATGGTGGGGTGTGGAGAAATGAAGCAGGCCTCAGCTGTGAATGTACCTCAGGGGATGATGGGTAAACTGGGGCCGGGCTGTGTGGTACTAGGTGTGGAGCATGAGGATACAGGAGCCCTGAAGTAGCTATGAGAGCATTTCTGCTACAGTCCTTAAAAGTGGGGGTGCTGGAAAGGATAGGGTTGGTAGTGGGCTGTATGGTCCCCAAACCAGGGGAGCTAGTGCCTCCTTTCTTGGGGCACAGAAGGAAGTCATGCAAATCAGTGGGCTTCATGGCGTAAAAGGCATTGGCATTGTCTGGGATCAGCAGTTCTTAAGGAGTATGTGTGTGTGTGTGGAGGGGAGGAGGGGAGGGGGAGAGAGAGAGAGAGAGAGGATGCAAAAAGAGAACATGAGAGATGCTGGCAATAACTCCATTGCTCCTTCCTCCCTCCACCCCAGCCTTATGTATCTTTCACTCACCTTGGCCATCTCCCAAAAGCTGCAGAAGCTGGTAGCTCTGTGGTGAGTCCCCTTCCAGATTGTGCTTCTGCAGGGCACGCTGCACTACAGCTGTTGTCCTGTCCTGACTGGTGATCTGTAGGGAAAGTCCATTGGTCTGGGAGTCACAGCAGGTGAAGGAGGGCAGGCTCAACACTGGGGTATCCCAGTGATCTGACCCACACCATCACCATGAGCTGAACAAGCTGTGGGGCAAGCCTGTTAACTATTTACATACCCCTTGCTTGAGGAGGCTTGTTCTGTTGTCTGAACCTGGGCCACATGGCTTGTTGGAGGGAGAAGGAACCCTGAAGTAAGCCACAGGCTTGTTTACCTCATGGTGATTGCGTGAACTGGTAAGGTATCTTCACAGAGAGACATAAAACATTATCAGAAAACAACCACTATGAAACTGCATACTATTTTCCAATGAAATGCTGGCTGCATCAAAAAGATGCCTTAAAATACAAATGAAGTGCTCTCTATCCTTCAGAGCTCCCACTGCTTCCTAGGTTGGCTTGAGACAACTTATTTGGGTTGCCTGAGTCCTCTTCCTCATTTCAGAGCTTCCACTTGCCTGGAATCCATCCGTGGCCTGCCAGACCTTCCTGTTTCTCCAGCTTGTGTTCTTCAGAAGCTCCCAGGCCTCTGTGCATGCCTCATGCTCCCAAGGAAACTTTCCCATTGCATTCACACCTGTTCTCTTGCTGCAGCAGCTAGAGATGTCCTCACCAATCCTGCCCCAGACTGTCTTCCTGCACCTGCAGCAGCTGCCCCTGCCTTCTCGCACAGATGCCACCACAACTCACCACAATGCTACGATAACAGTTGCCACTGCCATGCTCACTATTCATACTGACACGGATGATGCGCGATTCTGTCCCTCTCTCTGTAGAGGTGGAAGATGGCAGGGGGAGTGCAACTGGAGGGCGAGTTCTTGGCTGAGATACAGGCAGGTTCTTGACAGGAGAAGGGGGACAAAAGGAGGCAGGAGACAGGTTGTGAGTTATGACTTCCACATGCTTGCAGCATCCATTTCCGGTCTGGCCACCAACCCAATTGGCACACCCTTCCCAGATGATTCTGCCTCTGTACTGCCAGAACAGCATTTACAGTGAGAATGATGCTGACTTTAAAAGCTGTCTGTCCTCTAAGACACTGATTGTATCATCTAGCCCAGGGGTGGGCAATTAATTTTCCTATGGGGCCACATGAGAAACTGACAGTTGTTAAGGGCCGGACCAATACACTTACAGCTCTGCTCAATATATATCTCTATAAAAACAGTAAATGAAACATTACAATGATACAATGAAAATGTGGAGCACAGAACAACACTATTTAATGAATATTCACAAAAACATTAACATTCACATTACATGAAAAGCAATAAACTCAATTCAATTTAGCAGATCCTTCAAAATAAAAGCAGTGCAGTTGTATTGCTTGCATCTATATTACAACGATATATATTTGCATTGACTTTTAATTTGCCAGTGACCTCATGCGGGCCAGGCAGGGTCAGCCATCGGGCCGGATGTGGCCCGCGGGCCATACAATGCCCAGGTCTGATCTAGCCCATGGGTCGTCAAACTATGGACCAGGGCCCAGTTCCAGCCCACCATGCCCATTTGGACCAGCCACACGGCGCTCACACATGTGCCCGCCACCACCCACCTTGCCCCACACATGGGGAGGCAGCAGTTTGCTCGCTCGAAGAAAACGATCTCCAAGTAAGCAAGTCGCTGCCTCGTGTACCCGACTTGCAGAGTGTGCCTGCACGCACCTCACCTCCCCCGCACCCCTGCGCCGGCCCACGCACACCACCGGCACGACCATTCTGGTCCTTGCCCAGCACGGGGAGCTTTCAACTGACCTCTGGTGGAAAAGTTTCAGGACCTCTGATCTAGCCTTTGCCAGCCTTTTTGGTGCTCTTTTTTTTTTTTTTTTTTACTTTCCTGAGCACACAGAGATTCGGGACAAAATGCAAAATGTGTACCCAAATGTGAACTAAAGGGAAGGGAAGGAAAAAGTTGCAAATCTTGCAATGAAGGGGTGTAAATCCCTCAAAATACCCTCTTCTCAGCTTGCCTCCTGTGTGATCGCAAAAGAAACCAAAGTGGGTAGATGGGGGGTGGATTTGGAGACTTGGTTGAGTCAATGTGTTGCTGTTCCTTGACTTGTTGTTTTTCTTGTTAGTTGTGAAGTCGTGTCCAACCCATCACGACCCAATGGACAACATTCCTCCAGGCCTTCCTGTTCTCCACCATCCCCCGGAGTCCACTTAAACTCACACCAACTGCTTCAGTGACTCCATCTAGCCACCTCATTCTCTGCCGTCCCCTTCTTCTTTTGCCATCTATTGTTCCCAGCATTAGGCTCTTCTCCAGGGAGTCCTTCTTTCTCATTAGGTGGCCAAAGTATTTGAGTTTCACCTTCAATATCTGGCCTTCAGACAGGGTTGATCTCCTCTGAAACTGACTGGTTTGACCTCCTTGCAGTTCAAGGGACTCGCAGGAGTATTCTCCAGCACGACGATACAAAGGCCTCAATTCTTTGGTGCTCAGCATTCCTTATGGTCCAAATTTCACAGCCATACATTGCAACTGGGAAAAACATAGACTTGATTATATGTACTTTTGTTGGCAGGGTGATGTCTCTGCTTTTTAGTATGCTGTCTAGATTTGCCATAGCTTTTCTCCCAAGGAGCAAACATCTTTTAATTTCCTGGCTGCAGTCCCTGTCTGTAGTGATCTTGGAGCCCAGGAAAATAAAATCTGTCACTACCTCCATTTCTTCCCCATCGATTTGCCAGGAAGTGATAGGACTGGATGCCATGATCTTAGTTTTCTTAATGCTGCGTTTCAAGCCAACTTTTGCACTTTCCTCTTTCACCCCCATCAAGAGGCTCTTTAGTTCCTCTTCACTTTCTGCCATGAGAGTGGTATCATCTGCATATCTGAGGTTCATCTTTCTCCTGGCAATCTTAATTCCAACAGGTGATTCATCTAGCCCCCCTTTCCCATGATGTGCTCTACATATAACTTGACAGGCAGGGTGACAGTATGCAGCCTTGCTGTACTCCTTTCTCAATTTTGAACCAATCAGTGGTTCCATGTCCAGTTCTCACTGTTGCTTCTTGACATGCATATAGGTTTCTCAAGAGACAAATAAGATGGTCTGGTACTCCCATCTCTTTAAGAACTTTCCACAATTTGTTGTGATCCACACAATCAAAAGCTTTAGCATAGTCAATGAAGCAGAAGTAGATGTTTTTCCGGAACTCTCTAGCTTTCTCCATGATTCAGCATATGTTGGCAATTTGATCTCTTGTTCCTCTGCCTCTTCTGCCCTGTACTTCTGGTAGTTCTCAGTCCACATACTGCTGGAGTCTAGCTTGTACGAGTTTGAGCATAACTTTGCTGGCATGTGAAATGAGTGCAACGGTGCAGTATTTTGGACATCCTTTGGCATTGCCCTTCTTTGGAATTAGAATGTAAACTGACTGTCTCCAATCCTGTGGCCTCTGTTGAGTTTTCCAAATGTGCTGGCATATTGAGTGTAGCACTTTTACTGCATCGTCTTTAGGCTTTTGAATAGCTGACCTGGAATACTTTCCCCTCCACTAGCTTTGTTGTTGCTTGGACATCCTAAGGCCCATTTGACTTCACATTCCAGGATGTCTGGCTCGAGGTCAGTGACCACCCCATCGTGGTTATCAGGGACGTTAAGGTCTTTCTTGTATCGTTCTTCTGTGTAATCTTGCCACCTGTTCTTAATTTCTTCTGCCTCTGTTAGGTCCCTGCCATTTTGGACCTTTATCATGCCCATCTTTGCATGAAACGTTCCCTTCATATCTCCAATTTTCTTGAAGAGATCTCCTGTCCTCCCTATTCTATTGTTTTCTTCTATTTCTTTGCACTGTTTATTTAAGAAGGCATTCTTCTCTCTTTTAGCTATTCTCTGGAATTACTGAGTGTATAGAGCTTCTCCATCTTTGGCTGCAGAACAGATAGTCAGTCTGATTTCTGTGTTCACCGTCTGGTAATGTCCATGAGTAGGGTCGTCTCTTGGGTTGTTGGAAAAGAGTGTTTGCTATGACCATCATATTCTCTTGACAAAATTCTACCAGCCTGTGCCCTGCTTCGTTTTGTCCTCCAAGGCCAAACTTGCCTGTTATTCTGGTTATCTTTTGGCTTCCTACTTTAGCATTTCAATCCCCCATGATGATAAGGACATCATTTTTTGGTGTTACTTCTAGAAGGTTTTGTAGGCCTTCACAGAACCGGTCATCTTCACCCTCTTCAGTATCAGTGGTTAGGGCATAGCCCTGGACTTCTGTGATGTTGAATGGTTTGCCTTGGATTCAATCTGAGATCATTCTCTCATTTTGGACATTTTTCCCAGTACTGCTTTTTCTACTCTTTTATTGTCTAGGAAGGCTACTCTATTTCTTCTAATGGATTCTTGCCCACATTATACCTGATGGTCATCTGAATTAAATTCACCCATTCCTGTCCATTTGAGTTCACTGATTCCTAAGATGTCAATGTTCAGTCTTGTCATCTCTTGTTTGACCATGTCCAGCTTGCCTTGATTCATGGATCTTACAGTCCAGGTTCCTATGGAGTATAGAACTTTGCAGCATTGGACTCTCCTTTTACCACCAGGTACACCTGCAACTGCGAGTCCTTTCAGCTTTGACTCAGTTGCTTCATTCTTTCTAGCGCTACTAGTACTAGCCCTCTGCTTTTCCCCAGTAGCACATTGGACACCTTCCATCCTGAGGGGCTCATCTTCCGGCGTCGTATCTTTTTGCCTTTTGGTACTTTCCATGGGGTTTTCATGGCAAGGGTACTGGAATGGGTTGCCATTTCCTTTTCCAGTGGATCAGCTTTTGTGAGAGCTCTTTCTATGACCTATCTGTCTTGGGTGCTCCTGCACGGCATAGTTCATAGATTCATTGAGCTACACAAGCCCCTTCGCAATGACAAGACAGTGATCCTTGAAAGGGAATTAAACAACCCATAGGTTGTTCAGATGGTGTGTTGCCCATGCTCAGGCCATCCTGCAGAAATTGGTGCACATCTGCATGACATAACAGCTCATCATGTTTAGCAATCTACAGTGGATAATTTTCTGCGACCCCCAGTCTACTCTACATATCTAAACTATGAACCTTCTTGGGAATGGGGAAGTCTGACTAGGACTGAAAGGCAGGATAGAAAAGCTTTCATATATAAATAAATATATTACCTTGATAGTGGGGGATCCACTAGTCGGCAAAGAAGGGGTGCTGGAGCCATCCTCAGAGTTAAGGCTGCTGCAAGAACCCATGGGTGAATTTCTGGATTTTTCTAGGCTTGGAAGAGTAGAGGAAACCTCTGAGCCCAGGAGAAGTCTGCAAGGACAGACAGAGATTTGGCAATGACAGGTGCAGCCATGTGTCAGCATACATCACCAGGACACAGTTTCCTGTATCCCTCTGTCTCTCCCAACCTTGTATCCTCAATGAAGAAAGGCCCGAGACCAACACCTAGTCTTTCATCACTGCTTCAACCTAGGCCAGAAGCACAAATCATTCTTCCTCTGCCATGTTGCATGACACCATATACCAGCATGCAGGGCTGGCATGGGGCCTGGAGACAATGTGGATTTTGGGTCTTAGACACTTGCTGTGGTGCAATCCACTCAGCACCATGGACTTACTACAGGGCTTCAGGCATATCACTCCCTCTCAGCCTTACTTCCCATAACTCTGCAATTGTACAATAACTCTCAGGATGATGCTTTAGCCTTTACCTGCTCAAGAAATGGTGGAGAGCTGTGAAATCCTGTCAGAATGCTAATGTATGAACAGACCAATATGCTTTTCTCCCTCAGGTTTCCAGCCAGAGCCAGGCACTTGTCCTCCTAACCAACTAAACATCTGATGCCAGTAAGGTAAGGAATTGAAAGCTTTTGTCCCTCCAGCCTTCTCTATATCCCAAGCAAGCTTCTCTTCTAAGGCACATTCCCCCCCAGTATGACACACAATGCACTTCTGCTTTCACAGGCTGTGTCTGTGCCTATTGCTCCTGGCATAATCAGCGCTAAGGCCTGGGTCATGTTTCCTATACCAACTCTCAGCTTCAGAATGGGTGACATAAAAAGAAAGACCAAAGCCCACCTGCATATGCTCACAGAGAATGAATCTTAACTTCCAGCCAAGCTTGGCCTTTCTTTTGCTATGCTTTCTCCTGTGCTGGGGGAAGGGGCAAGGCCTGGGAGGGAGCCTCCATGCCCTGGATTTGGCCTACAGACCAGAGCTGCCCAGTCCCTGTTCTACAGGAATTGGGGAGAAGGGGAGAAAGGGCATGATGGTATATTCTAGAAGTAGGAATTGTGTGGCTTCGAGGAATTCAGTGCCTGCAGCATCCTAGGTTCCAAGCAGGTCCCCAGTGGTGAATAGGGGTCATGGCATGTTTCATTGGCTTGGTTGTATGTTACAGTGAGAATTTTAGGCACAGGTCCACAACATACAACACAGAAACTGTCTGCCCTGCCAAAGAAAAGCCATACGGACAAAGGATATAAAATTTACTTCATAAAGAGAAAATTGGTATAAGATGTATTTACAGTGGTATATTACCCCAAAAGACATACTGTAAATGGATAAGAATTGTAATGGAACTGGTTGGAACTACAAAGAAATAGATGGGACTTTTAACCATATGTGGCAGAGATGTGATAAATTTTTTAAAAATCTGGAAAATTCTCAAAATTAATTTTCCTATGGGTGCTAAGAATATGTTGCTGACAATTTCAGCAGAGATTCTTCCAAAGAGTATGCTTGAGTTATTTAAATATATGATAACAGTAGCAAGAAGTACAATTTCATCAAAGTGGAAAGCAAACGATGGTTCATCTACTGAAGATTGGAAAAATAAGCTAACTGAATATGCAACAATGGCAAAATTATCCAATTATATAAATAGAAGACCTGCCAATGAATTTAATGAAAAATGGAAAACTTTTTATGAGCAATTTAACTACTATTTAAGAAAACAGAATTTGTAAAAATATTGTTAGAAATTTGTACTTCATGCTAAAGTTATGAAATTATTTATAATTTTTTGATAAACTAAATCTGTCATTGAGCCTTAACTGAGAACTGACTGAATTAAAAATTTAGATAGAAAGTTTGCTTTCTCATGAACAGGTTAAATGTTGAAGCAATTGCTATATTTCTGTAATATATTTCCTTGAAACAAAACGAAACTGCCCTGCTGGATCAGACTTGGATGAGTCCACCGAGTCCAGTGTCCCATTTCTCCAGGTTCCCCTAGAAAGCCAACAGTCTAGGCATGAAGAAATAAATGCCCCCTCGGCCATTTGTCCCCCAGCACCAGTGCCTGCTTTCAGAGGCATCACATCTCTGGATCTGGAGGCTCCTCTGAGTTGTCCTTGCTGGCTGTCATCCCCTGCTGTGGTTCTAGCCATCCCACTCCCTACCTTGTCCTTCAGCTAGGAGCTTGCCTCCCTTCTCTGACAAGACCATCAATTTACAAGTTTTATCCAAGGTAGACACAACCACAAAAGCAATGTTATGCCTGGACACCCCAAAAGGAAGGTTCTGGGGTGGGCAGACAATGCCCAGGTCCCCTGCGCTTCCACTGCCTTCTCCCTCAAGAGCAGCACGAAGTTCTCGAGGGGCAGGAGATTACTGGATGGATGCCTGATGCCATCATAACAGGAGCAGGATCAGAGGTCAAGCAAAAGAGACCAAGTTGCGAAGAAGTCGCTGTGGTCGGTGCATCCTATCACCCAAACACCGGAGGGCTGGCTTACGAACTGAAGCGCTTCGTCAGGCTGCGGTACAGCTTTGGTGAGCTGGGGCAGGAGTCAGCGGGTGGCTCAATCACACGGGAGATCCGGTAGCTGTAGCGGGAGAGCAGAGACCCATGCTATGTCCACGTCTGCCCGACTGTCCACTGACTACATGCATGTACACCTCTCCACACACTGCCTACACTGGAGTAAGATGATCTTTTATTGACTGAAGTGAGGACTTGCTTCTTGGAACGTATATCCTCTCCAGCTATTAGGTAACCACCCAATTTAGCTTCCATTGGGTTTTTTTTTAACTCAGGCAACAGCTTTGTTAATATACAGACTGTCTAGTTTTTCTCTCCTTTCATGTTCCACCTAAGGACAGAGATGGTTGTTGTGTAACAGGTGAATTTTGTATTTTAAAAAATGGGAGATGAACCATTATTTGTTTGTTTGCTCTTCCCAGCAAATTATCTCTGTACTTGACAGTCAAATTTTAGTATTTGCAGACATTCTACAGCTGCAGTCCAGGGAAAGGTGACTCCATGGCAGAGTGTGACCCAGACACCTGCCATGGTACCCAATGTGGTATCCAGTCCCTCCCAATTTGTGACCCCCCCCCAATAATTTATTGTTTAAATGCATGCCTTTCCAGTGGCTTAGACTATTCTCAGCAAGCTTCTCTGACCTTCCTTTGCCTAGCTATTTGGGAATAATGGGGCTTGCACTTCAACACATCTGGAGGGCACCAGGTTGGGGAAGATTATGCTAGTGCTTTTCATCCACCACACTCCCTACAGGATCCCGGCAATTCTTCCATCCCCAGCAGAGCACCTTGACCCTTTCCTACCTCTGCTCCTCAGAAAGCTGCTGCTGGTGGTGGAAAGCAACATGGAAGGACGGATTGGGGCAGATGTTGTAGCCCTTACATGACTCCTGCAGCTGCTGGATCTGGGACAGTATTGCTCCTTCCTGGAGGTGGTGAAGAGAGGCAAAGCAGTGGGGTGGGTGGGCAGGCAGGGTTTGGACAGGCCTGCAGTTTGGACAGGCCACAAATCTCCCACACGGTTCCATGTCTCCTTGCCTTCACCCCACTCCCAGAGCCGGATGCAGACCTAAAAGACGCTGCTGCCTCACCCCACCCCACCCCACCCCACCCCACCTGTGGCATTTCCACTTGCAACTTACCTTGCGCCTCTTCTCAAAATTAATGAGGTTGCCCTGTGGAATGAGGAAAACAGAGACACAGAGGTAGTGAGCCAAACAACAGGTCACAAACAGGGTCACTGTTGTGTTTGAGCCAGCCAACTTGCCTGGCAGTGTTGCGCACACACACACACACACTCAAAGGTGGCCAAGGCTTACCCTTCCCAAACCAGATGTTTAGACAACATTCAGGGCAGGCCTGGCCCTTGTTCATGCTGGCTGTGGTTTGTGATGACGTATGTTTGTCGTTCGTTTGTGCTGTACAGGAGGACTTGTTTGAGCATTGCACTGATTAGGATAAAAGGGCTTGGTATTGTAATGTGCAGGCAGGTTGTTAGTTTTGTGTTATATTGCAGCTTACTTATTAACTGTTATTTTATTATTACAGTTAAATCCGTCTTTTTTCCTTTCAAGAAATTCAAGGCAGCTTACATAATTCTCTTCCTCCTCTTGATCTTACCCTCACAACAACAACCCAGTGATGGTTGAGAGACTGGGCTGAGAGTCTGTGACTGGCCCAAAGTTACCCAGGAAGCTCCATAGCCGAGTGGGGACTAGAACCAGATTGCTTGTGTCCCAGTCCTGCTCTCTTAAATGTGGCTGAATATTAGAGAAAGTGGAAGCAAGGACTTGAATTATATTGCATAGCTAGTGGAGCTGATAAGAAAAGTGAGTAGCTTCAGGTTGTCTTATTCCTGCATGAGGCAAGAGAAGAGGCAAAAGAAATATATAATACTTTCAAGTTTGATGAAGAAGCAGACAAGATACAGATTTTGCTAAGTTTGACTTATATCGTGCACCTAAAAGAAATGTTACATAAGAAAGACACACATTCTTTTCAAGAGCACAGAAAGAGCAAGAAATTACTGAGTCTTAAGTGACTGATTTGAAGTTGCTGGCACAGTCCTGTGAGTTAAGCAACTGTGTGAGCCCCTGATTAAGGATCAAATAATTTGCAGAATAAGATCAGATAATCTCCCAGCAGGGCTGCTGAGGGAAGCTGATTTGACCTTAGAAAAAGTTGCAGATATCCCTAAAGCAGTAGAAGTTACTGTAAAGCCATTAAAGGCACTTGGATCAATAGAAAGACAAATACATTAAAAAAAAAAAAAAAACCAGAGAGCATTAAAAAGAAAATTCAGCTGCCTAATGAGAAATGTGCAAAATCTGTTTCAAGTATTGCTTCAAGTTTTGCTCCAGATATAACAACTGTAAGATAAGACAATGCCCTGCATATGGAAAATAATGTAGAAAATCTGGAAGATCTCATTGTTTTGCAAATATGTGTAAAATGGTAGGCATGTCATGAGCAGAGCTGGCTAGAGCTCATGACAGACTAGGTGACCCAGGAGGCCCCTTCTGACTTGCTCTGTTTCTATGCTTCTGAAACCAAGGATATTACGTTTGTTCATAAGAATATCTGTATGCTCGAAGAGGAAGATTTGCAAGATACGTTCATTCAGACTTTAACATCTAATAAATTGGAAGACAAGTGGGCTATATATCTGAAAATAAAGAATAAGCATGTAAATTTTCAGATTGGTACTGGTGTGTGTTATGTGCCATCAAGTCAACTCCAACTTATGGAGACCCTATGAATGAAAGTCCTCCAAAATGTATCCATGTCATGTCTGCAAACACCTTGAAAGCCATGCAGCAATTGCTGGAAGCCAACATGGATTCCTGAAGAACAAATTCTGCTGTGGACATAGTATATCTTGACTTCTTATCTTCACCAAGTGCCCCAACTAGCCAAAAGTGGGCTAGATGGAACAACCATCTGGTGGATCCACAGAACTGCAGAATCAGACTCAAAGAGTGCTCATTGACAGTACCTTCTCAAATGGGGGAGAGGTAACAAGTGAGGTGCAATGAAGCTATGAGCTCTGCCGTGCAGGGGCACCCAAGACGGACAGGTCATAGCAGAGAGCTCTGACAAAAGCTGAACCACTGGAGAAGGAAATGGCAACCCACTCCAGTATCCTTGCCATGAAAATCCCATGGATAGTACCAAAAGGCAAAATGATATGACGCTGGAAGATGAGACCCTCTGGTCAGAAGGTGTATGTGATAGAGATGGGTGCGATCGTGCTGCGGGGGAGATGGCTGAGATCGCGGTTGTGCTCCTGCAGGAAAAACAGGCACAATCATGGGTGCACTCATGCAGGAATGACAGGCGCAATCTTGGCCATCTCAGCCCCCAGCATGATCGTGGCCATCTCCCCACTCGGGGGGGGGGGGCGGATGGCTGCGATTGCGGTCGCCACCCAATGTGGAGTTTGTGACCTGGGTCTAAATTTTTATGAAATTTTTGTTCGTGACCCCATTTGGTCATGAACTGAGGTATTTGTGAGCCGAGGTACCACTGTACCTATCAAGTCATATTTACCTTCATTTATTAAGAGTTCAAGTTCATTGCATTTGTTTACCATACTCTGGGCATTAGCATAATGGACTGTCATGTGCACTGACTCAGAAGTGTCCTAAGCATGCGTACAAGAGGAAGAAAGTTCCCATGAGAACCAGAGGATTGAGGAGGATGTTCGACTGGAATAAGCTTCACTCCCCAGCGGCACCAACGATGGGAATGGAAGTTCAGAGGATAAGGAAATTCAAGGAGATGCCAAAACTGTACAACATGCAGAAACCAATTTGGCGGTTGTGGAGGAAACAATTGCACCAGCTGAAGATATGGAGGGTGGGATTGTAGGAGATAACGTTGTTGAGGCAATCGAGGATGCTCGTTCCCAGAGACGCATGTGCAGAGTGGGACGATTAGAATCAAGATTGATTGAGCAACACAGGGAGAGAAGTTGGAGTGACCCACCCATGGAGGGGTGTCCCAGGAGAGTTCAAAAGCACCATGCGAGTTGAACTTATTCAGAAAGAGACGACAACTTCCTATAACTGTAATACTGTGTCGAATAAAGACTTCTGCAGTATCAACTGGAGTGATTGCTTTTGTTTGGAAGGAGCGCCAACCTCACAACATAGACAATGAAATCCATGTGTTTTATGATCTGGCCTCTTTTGTGCATTATTATGAGAACTATTTTGCAGTGCAAGCAGAACTCTATCTTACTCTGCATGTGCCTTCATCTCCAGCTGCCCCCAAGTCCATTTCTTCCTCCCCAGTAAGACTCAGTTTAAAGCCCTCCTGATGCAATTCTTCTGCTGTGGCCAAACATATTCTTTCCAGCTCTGGTGAGGTGCCATCCATCCCATGCTAGTACTCTGGCATCCAAATACTGTAGTCTGTGGTTCCAGAATTCAAATCTCTCATGTTAGTACTATCTTCATAGCCAGTTGTTCACCTGGAATATCATCTTTTCCCTTTCTATTTCTCTTGCAAGTACGAGGAGGATGGATAAGAAGACCCAAAAGTTCTTGAGTTTCCTTTGCAAAGCTTCAACATCTGATGTGGTTTCTTTATAGTTTGGTGGTATCATTTGTTCCCATGTGGATTAAAAGAAAGAGATAGGTAGGCTTTATGAGCTTTGGCAATCTTTCAGACATAGTTCTAATCCAAGCTCCAGAGAGAAAGCAGACCTGGCAAGTCCATGGGGTATCATGACACTTGGGTTTCAATCCCATGCAACAAGGAATCTCCCACAATGAGTACTTTTCTTTTTCTTGGGAGCTTTCTGTTTCATGCTTCTTGTGGCACAGATTTACCTTGTAATTCTTCCTTCGCAGGTTATCTACTAGTCTCATCTTCCAGTGGCTGAAACCAGTTACTTAGCTCTAGTGGTTCTATTGGAGCAGAGTGTCTTCTGATACTTCTGCTCCTATTACTGTTCTCCAAGGAGTTTGGTTATATTTTGATTTGATTTTGCATCTTAGTTTGATTATGCATTGTAGATCTGTATTTGTTAAGACATGGTATACCTGAAACTATAATAACTGATAATGGTCCTCAGTTTAACTCTAAGGAGTTTAGAATGTGTGTGACAAATAGGATTTTTCACATGTTACATCTGGTCCATATTATGCAAGATCAAATGGATTGGCTGAAAGAATGATCCAAACATTTCAGCAGACCTTAATGAAGAGTTGCTTGGAGAATACAAATCCATACCTTTGGCTATTAAAACTTAGAAATGCATCTTTCTTAGAGAAATAGTCTTCCGAACAATCGCTAATGTGAGGATGTTTGAGAGCAAGGTCACTTGTAGTGAAATCACTGCTGCAACTGGGAGATGTCTCAAGCAAAGGAGCAGAAAATGTAGAAATATGATGATTAAATGGCCAAGTATTTGCCATCATCAAAAGTAGGAGATAGAGTTACCATTCAAAAAAGGTGGAGCTGGCAACCTGCAAAAGTAACTGAACATCATCAAACTCTTAGATCATGTGTGGTGAAAGGATACAAGGCTGTACAGAAGAAATAGAAAGGATTTGCACAAAGTTTAAAGGATGTCTAAAGAAAGCCATAATAAGGAGACTGAGAAAGAAGATCGTGGAAGTGAAACTGAAATGAGAACAGAATGATTTTAGAAGGGTGAAATTAGAGGAAAAACTAGTAATTATATCTAAAGGAAGAATAGTGAGAAAACCTACAAGATATAGATATGGGGAATTTTTAAAAAGAAGAAAGAAAAGGAAAAAGGAGAGATAACAATATATATGTATGTATGGGAGGACTCATTGCACTGATTAGGATAAAAGAATTCACCTAGTATTGTAATAGAGATGCAGGATTGTTAGTTTTGGGTTGCATTGTAGCCTACTTAGCAATGGTGCCTGGGGTTTTCTGTTTATGCCTGAGAATACCAAACATTCCAGGAATCCTGGGAGCTGGAAACCTAAAGCATTGAAAGTGCACCAGGCTGCCTTACACTCTTCAGAGCCAGCCCTACCACAGGGCAGGGGAAGGTGGCCACCCCAAGCAGTGGTATTGGGGGCAGCAGCATCCAAGGCCTGTGCAAAACCTTCTCGGGCCTTAAACTGAGACTGCTGTATTAGAAATCATCCACTGGGCACATGAAGCTTGATTCTGACCTTGATAATGCTGTGAGCAGAGCATACCTGAGAGGTTCTGTTTCCTGAAGTAGAATTTCCCCATGGCAATTAGTCTGCAAGAGCTGGGGGGATGCCATCACCACAGGGGCCATAACTCAACAGTGGAGCACAGTCTTTGCATGCAGAAGAGAGGGCTTCTGCCTCAGTCTCCAGGATCTCCAGTTAAGGAGCTCAGATAAAAGAACCGAGACCTGCATAACCTTCCCTGGGCAGTCAAGGAAGAGCCTTTTGTAGAGACTGGAGAAAAATCCTTTCCTTTCAAATCTTAATGCAAATCTATCAAATTCACACCTGCCAAACAGGAACAAAGCTGCTCACAAAAATCCACAACTTCTCAAAATATTGCACTACAGGTATCCACTCAAAAACTGCACACACAAATGCACTATGTTAGGGGATTGTGTGCACAAAAACCATATCTATAAAAAGTGTGCAAAATGTGCACAATGGTGAACAGGCACATATATGAGAAACAGCTTACAAAATGTGTACTTTTAGCAAAAAGGCCACACAACAATGTATATTTGAAAAATGCATACAGAAAAATGCATACAGTAAGAGAAGTGTGCACAAAATAGTTTATGTAGAAGTTTCCAAATAAAGTCCAAACTTTATTTGGACAGAATGGTGCAGAAACAAGACAAACCAGGCTGAAAGCTGGAAAAATGAGAAACTGAATTGCACAGAATTGCACAGAATTCCACAGAATTTGAATTGCACAGAATTTGACAGATTCACCTTGTGACATATTAAATAGCAGAAATTGTATTGTGTCATTAAGCTTTCATGAAATGGAGGTCAGTTCATCAAATGCAACAAGGTAGATGTAGATGAAAATGGTCCACGTAAGTCTGACTCCAAGAAGGAAACTTTGTGTGGTCATTTGGATTTTCTGTCTTTGGTAGTAATATGAGCCATTTCTTAGGCCATCTCCCACCACTTGAGACATCATAACATCAAAGCCAAAGAAACCCAGGAAATGGTCCTTCTCTACTTCAAGCCACATGAAGCGTAATAGAGAAATCAACCTAAATATCCCCATGCCCAGTCTCTAGGGAGCAAGAGGAATAACTTCTGATTTGCACTTTGCACTGGGTGCTCAATCAACATGGGAAACACAGTGGGTGTACTCACTCCCAAAGATGCTCACCTCCACAAAATCTGGCAGGGCTGTGTCCAGCATGATCAGATCGGTTAAAAAGGTACCAAGATATGGGATGGTGGGAGCCTGAAACAAACCAGACTGATTTATTTACTCAGCTCTTTTCTTGCCCAATGACCACCCTGCCATCTGAATTCAAATCCCATCAGAGATCATGCATTATCAGTACACCATGGTGCCCAACTGGAGAAGAATACTGTGTTTTCACTGTATGGTTGTGGGTTCCCCCACTGCCCAAACTTTCCCACTAGCCAACTCACCGCAACAACAGATTGCAAAAGAGGCAGATGTGTGCAAACCCAGGGCAAAGATAGTTGGTAGAAAGAGGAAACAAAGCTTCAGTAAGATCTTGGTGAGGACTGGCAAATTGGAAAGTGGATGCAGGTTCACATTCAACTTAAAAAATGGCATCTTGCTCATTGTGAAAGAGAAGAGGTGAATGCAAAGAGCTGCAACAAACTTTGTCAAAATTAGTTAATTGATCTTAAAGGACATCATGGTAATTTCAGATCATTCAGTGGCAAAGCACTAATTTGCATGCAAAATTGGGACAGGGCTATGAGGAATAAATTATAGGAGCAAGCGGTAGCACATACTCTGCTGAAAACACTTAAAATTGGCTTGTGCAAAGGTATTCTATGAGATACACCTGGAAGAGCCACATGGGAGATTGAATGAGGCCGGGGACTTAGATTAGAGTCACCCCACCCCCTAGAAGTTGAGGGGCTTCTCAGGGCATTGGACATTACAAAGGCACCAGGGTTTGTACTGACAGGTTACACCTGAGAGTACTTCAAGAGTTGGCAGGGGTTCTCTCACATCCACTGGCCCCCATTTTTGAGGCCTCGTGGAGAATGGGTGAAGTTCCAGAGTACTGAAAGGTGGCATCAGTGGCCCCAATTTTCAAAAGGGGTAGTAGAAGGGACATGGGGAATTACAGACCAGTTAGCCTTACGTCCATTGTAGGAAAAACAATGGAAAAGCTCATAAAAGTGAGAGATCTAGTGACGCTAGATAGGGAAGGGAGGCTGGCGGCCACACAGCACAGTTTCTGCAATAACAGGTCCTTCCAGACGAACCTTGTGGTATTCTACAACAAGGTTTCCAGGTGGCTAGATGGAGGGGATGCAATGGATGTGGTTTATCTGGATTTCAGCAGGGCCTTTGACAAAGTGTCCCATGATATCCTGGTTTAGAAACTGAGGAGTTTTGGGATAGACCAATGCACTGTCCAATGGATCAGGGCATGGTTGACTGACCGAAAGTAGAGGGTAACCATTAGTGGGGAATCATCAGAATGGTGGCCAGTGACAAGAGGGATCCCCCAGGGCTCAGTACTGGGGCTATTCCTGTTTAATCTTTCCATCAATGACATGGAAGAAGGGATGAACAGTCTGCTGATCAAATTCGCAGACGATACTAAAACTGGGGCACTGGCCACAACTGAGGAGCAGGTACTCCAGATCCAAAAGAATCTGGACAGACTGTGGAAGTGGGCAGGAGACAAGAGGATGGCGTTCAATGTGGATAAGTGCAAGGTCTTGCACTTGGGGCATAGGAATAGCTGTCATAAGTACAGGTTAGGGGAGAACTGGCTGGAGAGCAGCACCTGTGAAAGGGACCTCAGGGTGCTGGTTGACTGCAGGCTAAACATGAGTCAGCAGTGTGATGCGGTGGTCAAGAGGCCGAATGCCACCCTTGGTTGCATAGCCAGAAGCATGGCTTCTATATCGAGAGAGGTATTACTACCACTCTATACGACTCTGGTGCACCCGCAACTAGAGTATTGTGTTCAGTTTTGGGCCCCTCGTTACAGGAAGGATATAGCCAGGTTAGAGTCAGTGCAGCATAGGGCCACAAGGTTGGTGGCCTGTTTGCAGGGGATGCTGTATGAGATGAAACTGAGGGAACTGGGTCTCTTCAGCCTGGAGGAGACTCCGAGGGGATCTGTTGGCGACATGTCTGTTGGTATATGAGGGGCTGTCACACGGAGGTGGGTAGAGTTTTTCTCCCCTGCAGAGGAAGGCAGGATGAGCTCCAATGGAGTGAAGCTCAGGAAACCAAGGTTCAATTTAGATGCCAGGAAGTACTTCCTGACAGTTAGGACCCCAAGGGTATGGAATGGGCTTCCATGGGAGGTGGTTGAGGCCCCATCGGGGAAGGTGTTCAAGGATAGGCTAGACATGCACATAGTGGGCATGTTTTGAGCAGAGCCGGCTGGAGCTGGGGGTCAGACTAGATGGCCTGGGAGGCCCCTTCTAACTTGCTCTGTTTCTATGTTTCTAAGTGCCTTTGAACACCATGGCCCTTGCTTCTGATGAGATATCTTAGAGTGACCTGTAAGGTACTGCTGTGAAAAAAAGAGGCAGTTGTTCTTGGCATGTGTTTCATCAAGGCCGGGGAGACTCAGATTCTTCAGATGGGGAGGAGGGGTCCTGGGAAATGGAGCCTTGAGGTATTAAAATGGAGAAGGCAGAAGGGCTTATCTGTGTCATGGAACTGGAGCTCCAGAAGCCACACATGCCTTGTATGAATCTTGATTCCATGACACAGCATCAGGAGAGAAGGGCTAGTCAACCAGAGGGGCAACATACAAAGAAAAGGTTTTCCCTCTTCCAAAGGGGCCCTCCCAGAGGGAGGGGCTCAGGGATACTCAAAAGGAGGGTTCGCAGAGTAGTTGCTAGATTGGGTTCAACAAACTGTTCTGTGCATGCTGAGAATCATTCTTTGTTGGTTGTGCTTACTGAGAGTGTGTTGGAGAATAAAGATATTTTGTCAAATAATGGTCTGTGCAAAGGAGGGTACTAGTTTCCAACAAGTCAAGGGACATGCTAGGCCACAGACCAGAGGCCTCCATGACATCCTCATTGCCTGGTGTGTGGTGGTTCTCCCCTTGGGGTAATTCCACCTCACTTCTCTCACACTTCTTCAGACTTACCTGAAAAATCACTTCCCCATACAGACCCCTCAATCCACACTGGCCTTCAGGAGACACCTTGCTGCCCATGTGATGTCCTGGAGATTCCCATCTGGCAGCGACAAGGCCATGGGCCATCTGTGGTGAGGTGCCCTCCCTCCAGCCTCCCTGCTACAATCTGCCAAGCTCTGACCATCCTGGGCTTTCTGTGATGGCTGTGCACGTGTGCATTTGCTTTGGCTTTCCCAACCATTAACATATTAAGTTGTTTTAAACCTTGTTTTCCCCTTCATTCGCCTTGTCGAGGTGAAGGGGCTTGTGTAGCTCGATGAAGCTATGAGCTATATCCTGCAGGGGCACCCAAGACGGACAGGTCATAGCAGAGAGCTCTGACAAAACATGATCCACTGGAGAAGGAAATGGCAACCCACTCCAGTACCTCTGCCATGAAAACCCCATGGGAAGTACCAAAAGGCAAAGAGATATGATGCCGGAAGATGAGCCCCTCAGGTCGGAAGGTGTCCAATGTGCTCCTGGGGAAGAGCAGAGGGCTAGTACTAGTAGCGCCAGAAAGAATGAAGCGACTGGGTCAAAGCCGAAAGGACACTCAGTTGCGGATGTATCTGGTGGTGAAAGGAGAGTCCAATGCTGTAAAGATCTATACTCCATAGGAACCTGGGATGTAAGATCCATGAATCAAGGCAACCTGGACGTAGTCAAACAAGAGATGACAAGACTGAACATCGACCAGAAGCTGACTGTGGCTCAGATCATGAGCTTCTTGTTGCAAAATTTAGGCTTAAATTGGAGAAAGTAGGGAAAAGCACTAGGGCACTCAGGTATGACCTAAATCATATTTCTGATGAATATACAGTAGAGGTGACAAATAGATTTAAGAAACTAGATCTGATAGACAGAGTGCCTGAAGAACTATGGACGGAGATTCGCAACATTGTACAAGAGGTAGCAACTAAAAACATCCCAAAGAAAAAGAAATGCAAGAAAACAAAATGGCTGTCTCAGGAAGCTTTACATATAGCTGAGGAAAGAAGGGAAGGGAAAGGCAAGAGAGAAAAGGAAAGAAAAACCCAATTGAATGCAGAATTCCAGAGAATAGCTAGAAGAGAGAAGAATGCCTTCTTCAATGAACAGTGCAAAGAAATAGAAGAAAACAATAGAATAGGGAGGACCAGAGATCTCTTCAAGAAAATTGGAGATATGAAGGGAACGTTTCATGCAAAGATGGGAATGATAAAGGACCAAAATGGCAGGGACCTAACACAGGCAGAAGAGATTAAGAAGAGGTGGCAAGATTACACAGAAGAATTATACAAGAAAGAGCTTGACGCCCCTGATAACCACGATGGGGTGGTCACTGACCTTGAGCCAGACATCCTGGAATGTGAAGTCAAATGGGTCTTAGGAAGTCTGGGCAACAAGAAAGCTAGTGGAGGTGACAGCATTCCAGGTCAGCTATTCAAAATCCTAAAAGACAATGCAGTAAAAGTGCTACACTCGATATGCCAGCACATTTGGAAAACACAACAGTGGCCACAGGATTGGAAAAGGTCAGTTTATATTCCAATTCCAAAGTATGGCAATGCAAAACAATGTTCAAACTAATGAACCACTGCACTCATTTCGCATGCTAGCAAAGTTATGCTCAAACTCCTACAAGCTGGGCTCCAGCAGTATGTGGACTGAGAACTACCAGAAGTACAGGCAGGGTTTCGAAGGGACAGAGGAATTAGAGCTCAGATTGCCAACATACGCTGGATCATGGAGAAAGCTAGGGAGTTCCAAAAAACATCTACTTCTGCTTCATTGACTATGCTAAAGCCTTTGATTGTGTGGATCACAAAAAATTGTGGCAAGTTCTTAAAGAGATGGAAGTACCAGACCATCTTATTTGTCTCTTGAGAAACCTATATGCGAGTCAAGAAGCAACAGTGAGAACTGGATGTGGAACCACTGATTGGTTCGAACTTGAGAAAGGAGTTTGGCAAGGCTGTATACCTTCGCCCTGCCTATTTAAATTATATGCAGAGACATCATGAGAAAAGGCGGGGCTCGATGAATCACAAGTCGGAATTAAGATTGCCATGGCAAAGATCAACAACCTCAGATATGCAGATGATATCACTCTAATGGCAGAAAGTCAAGAGGAACTAAAGAGCCTCTTGATGCGGGTGAAAGAGGAGAGTGCAAAAGTTGGCTTGAAACTCAGCATTAAGAAAACTAAGATCATGGTATCCGGTCCTCTCCCTTCCAGGCAAATAGATGGGGAAGAAATGGAGGTAGTGACAGATTTTATTTTCTTGGGCTCCAAGATCACTGCAGATGGTGACTACTGCCAAGAAATTAAAAGATGCTTGCTCCTTGGGAGGAAAGTTATGGCAAATCTAGAAAGCATACTAAAAAGCAAAGACATCACCCTGCCAACAAAAGTGTGTATAGTCAAGGCTATGGTTTTCCCGGTTGCAATGTATGGCTGTGAAGGCTGGACCATAAGGAAGCCTGAGCGCCAAAGGATTGAGGCCTTTGAATTGTGGTGCTGGCGGAGACTCCTGCAAGTCCCTCAGACTGCAAGGTGATTAAACCAGTCAGTCTTAGAGGAGATCAACCCTGACTGCTCTTTAGAAGGCCAAATACTGAAGATGAAACTCAAATACTTTGGCCACCTATTGAGAAGGAAGGACTCCCTGGAGAAGAGCCTAATGCTGGGAACAATAGATGGCAAAAGAAGAAGGGGACGGCAGAGAAGGAGGTGGCTAGATGGAGTCACTAAAGCAGTCGGCATGAGCTTAGGTGGACTCCGGTGGATGGTGGAGGACAGGGAGGCCTGGGGGAATGTTGTCCATGGGGTCGCGATGGGTCGGATGTGACTTTGCAACTAACAACAACAAGCGTTGTTTTGCAGAGCCTTGTAATTAGTTAACGGTAGTGTGTTTTACATTGTTTCAATGCTTTTTTTCCCCCTAGAAACCACTTTAGGACTTTTCAAAGAGGAATCATTGGATAAATATTTTAAATGAACAAATAAATAATTACATATGAATTATGCATCTATTTTGAGCTCTTGTAAGTAGTATCTTCCTCACGGCTTCCAATGGTTGGCCTACTGGAGGAATAGCAGCTGGACTTTTCGCTTCTGTGAGGAGAGTCTGTTTTACTTTTGCACAAAGTGAAGGAACCTGAAGGTACTTGCACTTGTATTCCTTTCTTCTCCGGGGGCAAGGAACTTCTTATGTGAGTTCCCCTCAGGCCACAGGCATGCCTGCCTAGCTGCAAGGAGATGAGGAGGAGAGGTTCTTACCACTAGCCTGGGCTGGGATCTCATCTTCAAAGATACCCCAGGTGGCATTTGAGGGTTCTTGGATCCATCACAAGGATCTTGCATACTTTCTCCCTGTGGAAGAGGTACAGGCAAACTGGAGGGTAAGTTGAGCCAACATCGGAAGTGCCACAATCAAAATGTACAGAGGGGATTCCATTGGGTTGCCATCCAGGAGAGGGCTTTTCAGGGGACCCAGAGGCAGGCAGGGATTGCCACAGGTGCGGTTTTCTCTCACTGCTGCCATACTGTCATTTACCCAGCACGGTTATGGCTTACACGTACGAGGGAAGCTCCTCCCACACTCAATACATGGCGACTTTGCTTTGGCCCCACTGATTTCACCTGGCATAGCACTGCTGCAACAGCTGTACCCAAGTCCTCCCTGCATCTGACCTCAGCCATGTTCTCATCAGTGGGAATGTATTCTCACAGCAGCCTTCCCCAACCTGGTGCTCTCCAGAGGTGCTGGACTACAATTCCCAGAATTCCTAGAATTGTAGTCTCACACCTCTGGAGGGCACCAGGTTGGGGGAGGCTGCCTTAAGCAAATTCCACCAGGGCACTGATGGGAAAACAAGAAGAAACCAAGGAGATCAGGGCACATATTCTTTCCAGAACTGTGTATATCACATTCAAGCTGTCTCTCTCAACTTTCCCTCTTCTTCTATGCACAAGCCATCTTCACTAGCATGTGACTACCAGAGATGGCAAAAATGAAGGTACACTTTTGCTGCAGTGGCATACACACTGGAGAAAAGGTGGGAAAAGGAAGGCAGAGCTGAATGCAAAGCAGTAAAGAGCAATAATGACCATGGGTTTGGCACATGCTTGCCAGAAAAAAAAAAACACAAGGAAGCCTCAAAAAAACAAAACAAAAATAGTCATAAGTGAGGTTTGCGAAAGCAAGAACTAGACCAGTGGACATACCAGGAGGAAGACACATGAGTGCCCCATGTGCCACAAGAGAGAGTTGTCCTAGAAAACACAGCATAACTTGGCCACAGGTCCCTGAGTCAGGTAGGGGTATGCTTTGCAGGCCTGTGGGCTAGGAGTACATGCTCACATACCTGTATCTATGCAGAAGGTGGGGGGGGGGCAAGGATGAGGCCACACAAGGGCAAGAGGCTAAAGTCTCCCCCGCTCCCGGCTATTTGGTTGCTTCAGGATCATTGACCTGCCTTACCCCCCCACACACACCCCCTGGCCTTTTTCTGCAATTGGCACTTACATCTAGGTTTAATTAAATCACAGGCATCTGTTATGTATAAAATGTAAGCAATGAGGAAGAAAGCAGCAAGGAGGGAGCAAGCTTGGGCTCATTGCTCATTTAGAGTAGCTAAACTGTGCTTTAGCAAGCCAGGAACTGAGTGTCTGGACTGGGCCAGTTCTTTATACAGTTCTTTCTTCTTTACCTGCAACAGGATTTCTCGGCAGTTCAAATGATTGTTGTCTTCAGAGAAGATCTGTGAGAGTTTTCGGAAGATGCTGCTGGTGTCCCTGCAGGAAGAGGAGAACACCATGTCTGCTGCTGTGTGGCAGTGTGGGTCATATGGGCCCCATGCCTGCTTGGGGCAGGAGGAGCTTGAGGTCTCTTAGCATCTCTGACTGAACTCTCTCCCAGCAAGGATCAGATCCTTGAACCCACTGTGGTCTTACAGTCAATTCTTAAAAGGAAGAGGAGCCTAGCAAAGATTGGATCTGTTTATGCTATCCAATCTCTGCTCTCTTTTTGCATCCCCTGCAAAGCCTCACCTGTTGACAGCAGCCCAGGTACGTTTAAGCCGGTAGATGGAATTGGACTGCAGAGCAGAGAGGATGGCGTGCAGTGAGGAGAAATTCCGTAGGGCCCGGCATCGCTAGAAAAGATGGGCACCATTTTGCAGAAAGGTAAATATTTCAGTAGGTGGGGGCAGTTACTCAGCAAGGTTTAAATGCAGATACTTGGACGCATTAAAGTTTCAATTGCAAAAAAAAAAAAGCACAATAATTAAGAATACATTACTACAAGCATTGTCTGGTTTAATTGGTAAATTTGGTTAAACCAATGTTAATTGGTGGAGTGAGTTTGAAGGGAAAAAAAAGTTTATTCTGTGGGTTACTTTAGTTCCAGTGTGTTAGTTACGTAACAATATAAATATTATTTTATGGTAGTATAACTCAAAAAGTGGAATTAACAGGACTTTAGGCTTGAACAAGGATAGTTTCTATTTAGTAAATTGCAAGTTATCTTCCACTTCTTCAGTGTTTCAAAAAGAAGCCTATAATGAGGTTTTGAGAATGTGTTTAATTGTATTTAACTAACACATGGGCAACATGTTAGAGTGGATGGTGGCGGGATAACTCCAAGCACTCTTGGATGAAACGGATTATCTGGACCCATTTCAGTCTGGCTTCAGACTGGTACTGAAACTGCCTTGGTTGCCCTGTACAATGACCTGTGCAGGGAGAGGGACAGGGGGAGTGCATCCCTGTTGCTTTTCCTGGACCTCTCAGTGGCTTTCGATACCATGAACCATGGTATCCTTCTAGATAGACTGACCGGATTAGGAGTTGGAGGGTCTGCATAGCAGTGGTTCCACTCCTACCTGGCCAGCCGATTCCAGAAGGTGGTGCTGGGGGACTATAGCTCTGCCCCATAGCAGCTTTGCCATGGGGTTCCTCAGGGCTCTATTTTGTCCCCCATGCTCTTCAACATCTACATGAAACCTCTGGGAGAGGTCATCAGGAGGTTTGGGCTGTGGTTCATCAGTATGCTGATGACACCCAGCTCTACCTCTTGTTTACAACTACTCCAGGTGAGGCAGTGGATGTACTGAACTGGTGCCTGGCTGAGGTAATGGGCTGGATGAGAGCCAATAAACTGAGCCTCAATCCAGAGAAGACGGAAGTCCTGTTGGTGGGCGGATTGAGGTTTCAGGTAAGTGATTTTTGACCTTGTCCTGGACAGGGTAGCACTCCCTCTAAAGGACAGGGTCCACAGCTTGGGAGTACTCCTCGACCCAGAGCTGTCACTGGAAATCCAGGTGGCAGTGGTGGCAAGGAGTGCTTTCCTACAGCTTTGGCTGGTCCATAAGCTGCGTCCGTACCCAGACAAACACTGCCTAGCAATAGTGATTCATGCTCTGATAACCTCCTGGCTGGATTACTTTAACGCGCTCTACGTGGGGCTGCCCTTGAAAACGGTCCGGATATTTCAGCTGGTACAGAATAGCAGCCAGGTTGCTAATGGGGACCGGTCATTATTCTCATATAACACCGGTCCTCTATCAGCTCCACTGGCTTCCAGTTGAAGTCCAGGCCCAATTCAAGGTGCTGGTTTTGACCTATAAAGCCCTGAACGGCTTGGGACCGGAATACATGAAGGAACGTCTCCTTCCTTATATGCCCTCATGCCCCATAAGCTCTGTGGGAGAGGCCCTGCTCCGAGAACCCTCCCTGAAGGAGGTAAAAAAGATATCTACTCGGAGGAGGGCCTTCTCTGCGGTGCCGAGTTTATATTCTTTTCAGCACCAGGTTAAAACCTTTTTATTTAACTGTTATTAATGTTTAACAGTCACTTTTATTTAACTTATTTATTGCATTTTTGGTTAATTGTTATTTACTGCTGTTTTATTGTAGTTATTTTAAAGCTTGTAAGCCGTCCTGAAATCCCATGCATAAGGGACGGCATACAAAAGTTTTAAATAAATAAATAACTGATGGATCTATTAAAACAGTGGTGGGCAATACACAGTCCACTGTCTCCTGATGCCACTCACCCCCTCCCCTTCCCCTCCCCTTCCTTTAAAAATGGGCAGCCATAGTAGTGGTTGTAACACCAAAAGGACTGTAGTTACCTCAAAACAAGCTAATTTTAATCTGTGTTGTGGAGCAGTTTGCCATACTTTTTCCCCAAAGTTTTTGTGGGAACACCCTGCTGAATGCAGGGTGGGGGGGATGGCCCCTATGCCTCCCACAGATTGTTGTTAGTTACGAAGTCTGCAAACAGCTGTTGCTTGTTGCTAGTCACGTCCGACCCATCGCAACGCCATGGACAACACTCCTTCAGGCCTTCCTGTTCTCCACCATCCCCCGGAGTCCACTTAAGCTCACACCAACTGCTTCAGTGACTCCATCTAGCCACCTCATCCTCTGCTGTCCCCTTCTTCTTTTGCCATCTATTGTTCCCAGCATTAGGCTCTTCTCCAGGGAGTCCTTCCTTCTCATTAGGTGGCCATCCCACAGATGCCCATCCCTTAATTTAAAAAAAGACATTTAATAAACTAAAAATCTTTAACCCAGTTAAAATCCCTCATCTTAAGCCAGTCGTTGAAATTACTTTTTGATACATCATAATGAATTCATGCTATCAACACAGCTCAAGTTCACTTTTCTTTTTTAAAAAATGCAATGGTATCTGTGCCTTTGGCATTCATAATTAGTACACACATTCCTTTGGATAAAAGTAGTCAGGCATCAGGTTGCACATTTTGCCAGGACTACTGCTGCTATTAGAAGAAGCCCACTGGCCCTTTCCCTGACAGGATCCATGGCAAGAACGAGTTGAGGTGTCAAGGTTTAGAGCAGGCCAGGGATCCACAACCTGCAGCCCCCAAGTTTTTGTGTGGCTCTCCAACCTGCTTCTTTACTCTATCACCCTCAAGGCATTTTCCCTCAGACCCACCATGCTGCTCTCCTGCCTCAAGCAGCACCATCTTCTGCTGTTTTTCAAGTCCCTTTCTTACAAAAAATACAATAGCTACATTGTTTCTTCTGGTCTCCAAGGTACCTCCTGTCAACCCCTTCCATGCCAGAATTTTGGCCATTCTGGGTGCTTTGCTAACCACCAGAGCTCAGGACTGCTGCTATTAGAAGAACTGACTGGCCCTTTCCCTGGACCTGGACCACTCACCTTTTTTTACTCCCCCTCTCCATGCATTACTATGTGAAGGCTATAGAGCTGTGTAAGGAAGATAAAGCTACTGTGTGGATGGGTACAGGAGATGTCTGGCCTGCTTTTGCAAAAATAAAGCCCAGAAAAATGGAGTAAAATGCCTGGTATTTTTGCAAAAAGGATACAAAGCGTTTTGCATACTGAACATTTCTAGAGTCTCCATGCATGAAGACTCCTCCAAGTGGCTTCCAAGGCTACTGGGGAGGTTGCTGCTCCAGGCAAAAGCATTCTTCCTTCTTCAACAAGAGCTGGTCGCTCTGACTTTTTGCCTTGCTTGCTTCTGCCTCTCCTCCCCCACCCACTCCAGCAAGGACTCTTCTCATACACCTGTGATTGCAGGAGCCCGTGAGTAGCCCCTTGGTTGAGAGGGAACGAGTAATCTCTTAGCAGGGAAGTTTATGGGATTCCCCTTTCCACATCTTCCTCCAGACAAGTTCCCTTCTCCCTGGCTGCCATTTTGCTTCTCATGATTGAGGCTTGGCTGGCAGGCAGTGACGTGTATGTGCCCCCTGAATATAATTTGAAGAGATATTGAAATTAAATGGCACACTTCCCATGCAATTTCACTGCATCATCCATCAGCAAGCCTTGTATAGTAAGATTCTTAAGTAGGAAATTGTGATGTGTATTGTTGTATTCAGCATTAATTACACCAGGCATCATGGCCTTACTCATTGTCAGTTTCTAAATTTTCTCTGAGAGATAGATGCAGAATATGGAGATGGCTTCGGCGAATGGGGTGGCATAAAAATGTTTTAATAAATAAATTAAATAAATAAATAAAATGTATTGTATCATGCAGAAATCAGGTGGCTTAGCAGAGGCAAACTGCTCAAGCATTTTTTTAGTCCATCATGAAGTTCATGTCCTCAAGTTCTCAAGTAGAAAGAAAAAGGTCAAGAAGTGTTGTCTGACTCTGGCTGGATTTTTGACTTTCTTAACTGATATCACAGAGCATCTGAACACATTGAATCTAAGGTTGCAGGGAAAAGGAAAGCTTCTGTGTGACATGTACTCTGAACTGAAAGGCTTTGAAGCAAAACTAAACTTTTCTGTAAAGCCAGTTAGTGAAGGTATCTTTTCAAACTTCTCAGACTACAATGAACTAAAAGATACTTGCTTGCAGGCATGTTCACAGTCTTTGGCATCACATACACCTGTGAGAAAACTTCTTCCTATATGAAAATTGTGAAATCCAAGTGTAGGTCAAGACTTACAGATGAACATTTGCATGCCATTTTAAGTGTGTCTGTCACAAACCTTGATTTGGACATTAGTGCCTTGGCTAACAGAGAACAGCCACAAAAATCACACTGACTAGGTAAGCTTGTGTAGTTAGGTAAAGTATTGTTCCAAAGTGGATTGCATTCAAGTTAACATTTCTTCATTGACCTTGGGATGTTTACTTCTGATCTAAATTGGTAACTTAATAATTTTGTTACATTTTTATTTAAGATGTGGGCCTCTTTAGGCGTTGGGCACTGTAATGCAGCCCCCATGTCCCAGAAGGTTGAGAACCACTGAGCTAGGGGATTGTAGGTGCCATACACAGAACATGCAAGAAGGAAGGGAAATCTAGAAAATGTGACACAAAAATGGAAAGCAGAAAATCAGTTTCTGATCTGTTCAACACCAGGATGACTCCTGCTCCAAAGCCCACTCCACTGTGAGACTGTATCTACAGTGCCAGTCTCTTCCTGGCCTGGTTTTATCACCCCATTCACCTATCCCCACTACTAGACATCATCTCTCACACACACTCACCTGGGCAATAGCAATCCATTTCTCTAACAAGTGTGCCCGCTGGGCAGTGCGCAGTGTCAGGTCTCCAAGCACAGATGCAATGACACAGCTGGTGACTGCATTGAACTGGGCCACAGTGGCACGGACACTGGGAGACACATGCTGATTCTCTTTCTTGACCCGTTGGGACCACACACAGCCCAGGCAGTGGAAGGGGCGCACTGCTCTAAAGAGATCCTGGAGAAGGAGGGCAGCAAGTAAGCGGAGAAGGCCAGCCCAAAGCCACTCAGGACACCCACAGCAGACACAGTCAGGTCTCAGCAAATAATGGGACTAGCAGTCCCACCACATAAGCCAGAGTGTAGTGGTCGGAACGTTGGACTGGGTCTTGGGAGCTCTGCCAGGGTTCTGGTCCCCATTTGGCCATGAAGCTCACTGGGTGGGTGACCTGTGAATAGTCACTGATTCTCAGTCTAACCCACTGCACAAGCATTTTGTGAGGAAAAAGAGGAGGCCTTGGGCCCCTTGCAGGAAAAATGGTGACGTAAATATAATTAGTTAAATAAGCAGACCTGCAGTATATTAGCTGGGGAGCTGCTGAAAAACATGGTGCAGTTCCTATATGCTTTCAGCAGATGGATAATGAAGGGCATGCATGGGGCTACCATCACTCCCATGCCCCACAATTCTTCTCAGCCATTACATTTTAATCCATAGAGTTGGAAACAGAATCCAGGAGATTGAGAGCTATTCCACACATTAACAATTTCATGCCAGAGCTACTTTCTAATCCTGGGCCTTCCCAATCTTACTTACTGCATCAATCAGGGTCAGCTGCTCAGCCACTTCATCGACAGGGAAGGACAGCAGGGCCAGTGCTTCCTCATAGCTACCTGCCCCAGTTGCCTCTCTGATCACCCGTGATAGCCCCATCCTGGGGGACTTTTCTCCTGTATGGTGATAAAGTAGGACAGTCCAAAGTAAGTACAAGACTAAACTGTAGGAAAGAGGAGGGCCCAAAGGCGGGATATAAGGAGGCAATTGCAATGGAACAAGATTGATCCTTGCTTGATCTGCAGTTGTTGCTAGTTGCGAAGTCATGTCCGACCCACCACAACTCCATGCACAACATTTCTCCAGGTCTTCCTGTCCTCCACCATCTCCCAGAGTCCACTTAAACTCATGCCGACTGCTTCAGTGACTCCATCTAGCCACCTCATTCTCTGCCGTCCCCTTCTTCTTTTGCCACCTATTGTTCCCAACATTAGGCTCTTCTCCAGGGAGTCCTTCCTTCTCATTAGGTGGCCAAAGTATTTGAGTTTCATCTTCAGTATCTGGCCTTCAGTCAGGGTTGATCTCCTCTAAGACTGACTGGTTTGATCTTGCAGTCCAAGGGACTCGCAGAAGTCTTCTCCAGAACCACAATTCAAAGGCCTCAATTCTTCAACACTCAGCCTTCCTTATGGTCCAACTTTCACAGCCATACATTGCAACTGGGAAAACCATAGCCTTGACTATATGCACTTTTGTCGGCAGGGTGATGCCTCTGCTTTTTAGTATGCTGTCTAGATTTGCCATAGCTTTCCTCCCAAAGAGTAAGCGTCTTTTAATTTCTTAGCTGCAGTCACCATCTGTGGTGATCTTGGAGCCCAAGAAAATAAGATCTGTCACTACCTCCATTTCTTCCCCATCGATTTGCCAGGAAGTGTTAGGACCGGATGCCATGATCTTAGTTTTCTTAATGTTGAGTTTCAAGCCAACTTTTGTGCTCTCCTCTTTCACCCGCATCAAGAGATTCTTTAGTTCCTCTTCACTTTCTGCCATTAGAGCGATATCATCTGCATATCTGAGGCTGTTGATCGTCTTTAGGCTTTTGAATAGCTTGGCTAGAATACTGTCCCCTCCACTAGCTTTGTTGTTGCTCAGACTTCTGAAGGCCCACTTGACTTCACATTCCGGGATGTCTGGCTGAAGGTCAGTGACCACCCCATCATGGTTATCAGGGACGTTAAGTGCTTTTTTGTATATTTCTTCTGTGTAATTTTGCCACCTCTTCTTAATCTCTTCTGCCTCTGTTAGGTCCCTGTCATTTTGGTCCTTTATCATGCCCAACTTCATTTTTTTTGGTGTTAATTCTAGAAGGTGTTGGAGGCCTTCACAGAACCAGTCAACCTCAGTCTCTTCAGCATCAGTGGTTGGGGCATAGAGTTGGACTACTGTGATGTTGAATGGTTTGCCTTGGATTCGAACTAAGGTCACTTTTTCATTTTGGTGATTGTATCCCAGTACTGCTTTTCCTACTCTTTTCTTGACTATGAAAGCTACTCCATTTCTTTTGAGGGATTCTTGCCTGCAGTAGTATACCTGAAGTTCATCTGAATTAAATTCACCCATTCCTATCCATTTTAGTTCACTGATTCCTAAGATGTCAATGTTCAGTCTTGTCATCTCTTGTTTGACTACATCCAGGTTGCCTTGATTCATGGATCTTACATCCCAGGTTCCTATGGAGTATAGATCTTTGCAGCATCGGACTCTCCTTTCACCACCAGATACATCCGCAACTGAGTGTCCTTTCAGCTTTGACCCAGTCGCTTCATTCTTTCTGGCGCTACTAGTACTAGCCCTCTGCTCTTCCCCAGTAGCACATTGGACACATTCCGACCTGAGGGACTCATCTTCTGGTGTCATATCTTTTTGCCTTTTGGGGTTTTCATGGATAGGGTACTGGAGTGGGTTGCCATTTCCTTCTCCAGTGGATCACTTTTTGTCAGAGCTCTCTGCTATGACCTGTCCATCTTGGGTGGTCCTGCATGGCATAGCTCATAGCTTCATTGCACTACACAAGCCCCTCCGCCATGAAGGGGTTGCTTGACCTAAGACAGGGCTAATAATAATTATTATATAGGTTGTCTGTGTCAACCTTATTAAGTCTACTATGTTCTAGGAAGGAAGGACGGATGGACAGACGGGGGACAGACAGACAGACACTACACATTAGAATAATTCTGGTCCTTCTAACTTCAGTTAGGTGGCATATTTTTGAATGTATCCTAATATATAAAGAAGTACCTCCCTGCATGTAGTAAACTAATACATCAGTGAGACAGGTATAGCATCATTTTCCCCCTGATGTCAAAACTCGTTATGTATGTAGAACTTTCTACATGAAGGAGCATTCAAAAAAAGGACAAAACTCTCCTAGGCTACAGTCTGAAGTAGCAAAATCCAAAATTCACCTACCTTATTTTGTGCAATGTGTCCAATGGCTCAAATAAGGTTCAAAGTAAATAAAGATTTGAGCTGGGAAAGCACCCACTTAATAGGCATGAAAGGAAGGGCCTCTTGTTACTGGTAGCACGTTGCTGCCTTCACCATCTGCAGTTACACAGGCAATAAGGCAGTGACTGTGCAACTTTTTGCTGAGAGATCAGGGTAAACCTTGATAAAATAAGCTAAGCCTAGTTTGATTGATTTCATAATCTCAGCTGGTCTTTGGCTGTGAAAAAAGGGGGCATGGTAAATCCTTTCTCAACAGCCCTCTTTGTACCAATACATTAAAAACATTCATGCTAACTGATTTGTTTCTAGTATTCTAGTCCTCAAGCTGCCCCCTCGGGTGAAGGTCTAGAATGTTTATATTGTGTGTTGGGCTCCCAAGACAGATTGGGGATTCTGTTAATGTACCTTCCACCCTACTGCACTTTATCAGTCTCCCTGCCACAGCTGACAGAGTTGGTCTCAGATCTAGTTTTGAGGTTCCCCAGGATCTTAGTCCTTGGGGACTTCAATTTTCATGCCGAGGCCTCCTTATCTGGAGCAGCTGAGGACCTCATAGCTGCCATGACAACCATGCATATCATTGGTGCAATACATGAGAAAGGCCACACTCCAGACCTTGTTTTCTCAATGGAGCATGAGGATGCTGGTTCCATAGTGGTGGGACATCTACCCCATTGTCATGATCAGACCTGGTCAAGTTTAGGTTGTTGCCTCCTTTTCCTCTCTGCAAGGGTGAAGGATCAATTAGAATGATCCGACCCTGGAGTCTGATGGATCCTGAAGGTTTCCAAAGGGCTATGGGGATTATCTGCCTGATATGGTGGGTGCTCTTGCTGATGCCCAGGTTGCGCTATGGAATAGGGCAATGGCTCAGGCAGTCAACATGATCGTGCATCCTCTCCCCTCCTGCTGAGCCTGTGCAGCACCCTGGCATAGTAATGAACTGAGGATGATGAAGCGGGAAGGGAGACGGCTAGAGTGCGGGTGGAGGAAGTCTCATGACAAGTCTAATCGAACACGTTTACAAGCTCACTATCTATTCTGCAGCAATAAAGCAGGCAAACTGTGACTTCTTTGCCTCCTCTATTGCTTCCTCACAGTGCCGTCCAGCTGAATTATTTTGAGTGGTCCAGGGCTTCCTTCAAGCTGATTCACCAGATGAGACCCTGGAGCCCTCAATGGCTTACTGTGATGAATTTGCCCAGTACTTTGAGGGAAAAATCACCCAGATCTGTCAGGAGCTTGACTCTACTGTTTGTATACATTAATCTTTGGAAATGTCCAGTGCGCTGTCTTATCTTTCATCATTGGATGAGTTTCAGTTGTTGCAACCAGAGGATGTGGACAAGGCACTTGGCTCTGTCCAACTAACCACATTCCTGCTTCATCCATGCCTGATATGGTTGGTTGGAACGTCTGTGGATAATGTTCAGCCCTGGGTCCAGGAGGCAGTCAATGGCTCATTGAAAGAGGAAGTGGTCCCTGTCCCATTGGAAGAGGCGGTGGTTAGGCCACTCCTAAAAAGGCCAGGCCTGAATCCAGGGATATGGGATAACTATCATCCCATCGCCAACCTTCCATTTTTGGGCAAGGTGTTGGAGCGGGTGGTGGCTCAGCAGCTTCAGGCACTCTTGGCGGATACGGATTATCTGGAACCATTTCAATTGGGTTTTAGGTCTGGGTACTGGATGAAGACAGCCTTGGTTACCCTGTACAATGACCTGTGAAGGGAGAGGGATGGGGAAGTGTGGCCCTGTTGGTTCTCCTTGACCTTTCAGTGGCTTTCAACACCATTGACCATGGTGTCCTTCTGGACAGGCTGGCTGGGTTGGGAGTAGAAGGCACCGCTTCACAGTGGTTCCACTCCTACCTGGCTAACCAGGTCCAGAAGGTGGTGCTGGGGGACAGTTGCTCTACCCCATGGCAGTTGTGTCATGGGGTTCCACGGGGCTCTGTACTGTCCTCCATGCTGCTTAATATCTACATGAAACCACTAGGAGAGGTAATTCAGAGGTTTGGGCTGAGGAGTCAGCAATATGCTGATGATACTCAGCTCTACCTCACTTTCTCATCTAGTTCAGGTGAGATTGTTGCCATCCTGAGCTGGGGCCTGAGCTCAATAATGGACTGGATGAGGGTCAATAAACTGAGGCTTAATCCTGGTAAGACGGAGGTACTATTGGTAGCAGGGACCTCCGATAGGTTAAGAGGGCCTTCCCTGTCCTGGATGGGGTCACAAGCCCCCTAAAGGACAGGATTCACAGTCTGGGGGTGCTCCTGGACCTCAGTCTGTCCCTGGAATATCAGGTGGACTCAGTGTCTAGGAGTGCCTTTTTCCAGCTGCAGTGGATTTTCCAGTTCTGCCCCTACCTAGACAGTGAGCACCTGAAGATAGTTACCCATGCTCTTCCAGAATATTGTAATGCACGCCTCATGGGGCTGCCCTTGAAGACAGTCTGGAGATTGAAACTGGTGCAGAATCAGGCTGCTCAGGTGGTGACTGGTACTTCTAGAGTAGCCCATATAACAGCAGTTCTAAGAGAACTTCACTGGCTACCAGTTGTGGCCCGGGCCAATACAAGGTACTTGTATTGACATACAAAGCCCTAAAGGACTTGGGGCCTGGCTATCTAAAGGACCGCCTGTATGCATATATACCCTCAGATCAGCTCAGGAGGCCCTTCTACGTGAACCACCCCTCAGGGAGAAGAGAGGGGTGGCAGCTGGATGAAGGGCCTTTTCCACTGCTGCTCCCCATGTTTGGAACTCCCTCCCTAGGGAAATTCGCCTGGCACCATTTTTATTTTCCTTTCAGCACCTGGCAAAGACATACCTTTTTAGGAAATTTGTTAACATTTGGCCTGAATGCTGTGGCCCTTTTTATATTGCTTTTATAGATGTTTTGATGTGTATTACTTTGTTAATATGTTTTATGTATGGTAAGCTGCCTAGGAAGGCCTAGGCAGTTATAGGTGGCCTATATATATATATATATATAAAAGCAAGCAAGCAAGCAAGCCCATGTCCATTCAGAGGCAGGTTAGGAAGAAATGGGATTGGCACATCAGGGCCTGAACCAAGCAAGCGCCTTGGAGGCAAGCCAGCAGCTGCACATTGCTAGGAAGCAGGGGTCATTGTGGGGCACTGGGCAGGCAGACTCCGAGAAGCAGTTGTGCTTTGACAAGCAATCTGGAGCCTGGGTACTTCTTACCAACTGCCTCAGCGGTGCCTCTTCTGTGTTCTTCTTTTTCCCCCTCCTTGTGGGCTTGCAGAAGCTCCTCTGCCAGAGCACATGCTTGGGAGTCAGGAGCAGACTGGTACAGGAAGTGCAAGACTTTCTGCAGACTGGGGTGCTTGGGGGGTTCCCAGAAGTCTTCAGGGTGATGCTGAAGCCAGAACTCCAAAACATGTAGCACCTTCCTGCAGCCAGAAGAGAGATGCAAGCGGCTCCTTCCCTTGCCTCTCTCAATTGGGTGCTCCCATCCCCTAGGGCTTTGCTTGTTCCAAATGACCCCCACCTGCCCATTGCTTGCCCCCAGTGTACCTTGCCAGGCTGAGTTGATTTTCCCACATCCCACTTCACTACTCACCCGGCACCTCATTTTTCACAGGTACATCCTGTATAACTCACCACCAGGAAGTACTCCAACCAAGCATGCAGGTTTATAGGTTTATAGGGTATAAAAGTTTATAGGGAATAAACAGCAAGGAGAGGACCTCATTGGTACCCTGTGATGTACTCTACTGCTGCCAAAAAATGGTCATTGCCGGACACAGGCTCCCGGGAAATTATTTTGCCCTCCTCCTCTTGCAAAGGAGGACAAAACCAGGGAGTTCCCCCAGCTCCAAGTAGGCGCAACTGCAGCTGCCAATGGGCCCTGCGAAACTGTTTGCCCAGTCAACTAGATGGAAAGCAACAGTGGATGGAGCTGAATGGAACAAATAGTGAGGCTTAGCTGGGTGCTGGCTTTTAATCAGCACAAGAATGTCTATGCTGCCAATTTAAGTTGGTTTTATCAGTTGTTCCTGCACCCCAGAGGGAGTTCTGGGAGCTGGAGTTCTGTGAAGGGCAAGTAGGAAATTCACAGCACTCTCCTGGGGCAGTGGGAATAAAGCCTCCAGGGCAGCCATGATTGCACACGGGCACATTGTGCTGGATGCCGAAGAAGGCCAGCTGTGGTGCGTCTATGACAGCTATGTAGAAAGTAGAAAGTAACAGATTTCTGTGAACCTGCATCCAGCATGAAATAATCTAATTCTGCAAGGGTTGCCTCAAGCTTGCCTTTTCTAGAACGAGGAGAAAAAAAGATTCTCAGTTTGCTGGCTCTTCCCACTGCACTGGTCAAGTAGGCCCTTGCCTTGTGAATCAAACCTTTCCTGGATACCTTACTTACTTACTTACAGTACTTATTTATTTAAAAATTTTGCATGCCGTCCCTTATGCCTTGGCATCTCAGGCTGGCTCACCATACATACATGGGAGCTCAGATCCTCTGGCATCCTTCCAGTACCCACATCATCCACTCACTACCCAGTGTCTCACTTGTCTGGTCCCAGTGGCGGCAACAGCAGCTCCAGCACCTGCACAGGGGTGGCAAATGCCTGGTAGGTGGCCAGGAAACTGGACATGTAGTCTAGGTCACCCTCAGCATTGGCTGTCACCAGCCAATCCACCAGCCTGGGGAGCGTGGCAGCCCGTAACACACGCCTCTTGCATGTGCGGTACTGTACAAAAGAACACTCCGGTGTGCCGTGGTCATCCTGTTGGGAAAGGAATGGGCATGTCACCAGGAGGTAGTGGGATAGCTGCATGTAAATAACACTGGACCAGTGTTAAATAACACTGAAATAATGCACCTTATTTCTTATGCAATGTAGCTGACATTGACCAGGCACCAGTCCAGAGAAAGCTAGTTGGCACTTGATAGATAACAGCATCACAAACAAAGGGCAATTCACACCAGCCCAGCCCCCTTCTCTTCTATGTACTGGCACCCCATCCTACCCCCTCCTTCGGAGCATCTTCTTTGGTGGAAAGTTTGCACCATTTCAGCTTTTTACTTCTGTAACCTATTGGAAAGTGTTAACCGTGTTACATGTAACTCTCTAAGGATCAATGTATAAAAGGGACGGCTGAGGACTGCTCAGAGGTGCCACCTGAAACCATTCATTGGTAGCCGGTTAGTCTCAAGAATAAATCCTTTAAAGGAAAACCTTAGCCTGTTGTGTATTTTGGGCATACACACACCAGGACACAAACCATTCGGTCAACAGCTGTGTTCCCCAGCAACTGACCACAACTCTATGCCTTCCAGTACCTGAGGCCTGAAGCAGACGCCACACTCTGCTGAATGTTCTGGGATTCCCATGAGGCACAAGTACAGCAGCTCCCTGCCACTCACCATGATCCCCAGCAACCAGGAGAGGGGGTCCTGTGGCCTCTATAGCTAGAAGCCTTTGACAGCCTTCTCCTCCAGTTCAAACTAAGCCTAGGTGGGCAACCTCTCTTTCATTCAGTGGAACTTGTGCAAAATTTTAAAAACCTTATGATTTTTCACAGAGTCGTATTCTGTGTTTGATGCACTTGCAACAATTTCCTTTTCTTTTAAAATGAAAATTCATTGTAAGTTCCAAATCTTAGGGTTTCTGAAATCACATATCAAATCATAGTGAGTCAGAAGGGGGCTCCTGGGCCATCTAGTTTGACCCCCTACTCCAGCTGGCTTCACTCATGTAATTTGACAATCTACATGTTGTTGTCAAATTTTAACTTGAATACCCTCAGTGAAAGAGGGAAGGAAGGACTGAAGGGTGGGTTCTTTTTCATGCCTGAATCTGAACCTGGGAAGGCCTTCACAACCCGTATTGTTTGACCAGCAAACCTGTCATAAACCTGTTTCTCATGGAGGAAAGGCCATGAGGATGTATGAGAATGGCACATACCAGGGGACTGCTGGCCACATGCTCCTTTCTCACTCGCTGAAGAACGATGCTGTAGATAACCCCATCTTCTACCTCTTCACCCCACTGTTGTAGCGGCGTCTGGGGAGAGGCAGGGAAGAAACCAAAGCTCAGTTGAGAAAGGGGGTTATTGCTGGGCTGAGGAGGTTGCGGCTTTCCACAAGTTGCTGAACAGCAGCTCCCATAATCCTTGATCATTGGTCATGATGGCTGAGGCTGATGAAAGCTGGAATCCAACAACAACTGGAGGACCACAGATTCTCCATCCCTAACTTATAGAATGAGGTGCTCTTTGCCTCTTTTGTGCTCTCCGATATATGTTTTTTCTAAAGTTGCCAGTGATTAATAGCAACACATCTGGCCATAAGGGCTTTTCCCCTTCCCTTTGGAACACTTACAAAATACCTGTCCACAAGAATTGAATTGTAATTTCACATGAAATTATTCATTAATTGATGCACTGTCAAATTGGAGGCATTAGAAAAGAACTTTTGTTTGTGTTTGAAAAGCAGTAAGGCTAAGCTTTTCATTCAGGGCATTAATAGCCCAGTTGCCTGCATGCTTACACAAACACTGAGTGGGATTTATCCCCTCACTGGTGTATTATAGCCTTACCTCTAGACCAGGGGAGGACCGAAGATTAATCTCCTGGTAGATTTTTGGATGATTTGCCATAAATCTCCAAGAGTTACAATAATTTCATGAGAACAAGTAACATTCCAAGGGGAAAAAAGATCTCTGCTATGCATAGCCTTGTGTTAAGGCTTATCTCTCTACTTCAGTGCTCACCTGCAAAAAAGCTTTGGTTGCTTTTTGCCAAGTTATGGTTAAGCTATGCTGGCTACTTTCTGTTAGGATTCTTTCAGTGTAGAATAGTATATACGCCAAGGTAGCAGCTAATTTACAGACCAGTTAGCCTTATGTCCATTGTAGGGAAAACAATGGAAAGGCTCATAATAGTGAGAGATCTAGTGATGGTAGACAGGGGAGGATGGCGGCCACACAGCACGGCTTCCACAAAAACAGGTCCTGCCAGACAAACCTTGAGGAATTCTATGACAAGGTTTCCAGGTGGCTAGACAGATGGATGCGGTGGATGTGGTTTACCTGGATTTCAGCAAGGCCTTTGACAAAGTGCCCCATAATATCCTGGTGGAGAAACTGAGGAGTTTTGGTATAGACCAGGGGTCTACAACCTTTAACATTTAAAGAGCCATTTGAACCCGTTTCCCACACAAAAGAAAACACCGGCAGCCACAAACCCCTTTTGACATCTAAAATGAAGATAACACAGCATATATCGTTTTTTATCTTAATGCTATATATATCTTATGATTTAGCTGCAGCTCTTGTTCAGTCACTAAAAACTGTTATTTTAAATCTTACATTATAAACTAGCAGGACTCCTTTCATATATTTTGAATAGGAGAACAGCTTCCTGCAGAGTCAAAGTCAGTGCTAAAGGGCTGCATGCATTAAACAGCAAACCCCATAAGTTCGTCAGCAGTAAAAGCAAATGAATCTACCCACATATCATTAAATGTTTGGTTTTCTTCAGAAACTTTTCTTTTCTTCAATTTATCCATGGTTGCCCTACCGGGGGAAGTCATGGATATAGGTGTGTTTAGTGACTGATTATCAGATAAACAGTCAAATGATGTTAATTGTGACAGGTCCCAAGTGCAGCTTTTATCATTCAAAGGAGATTACATTTGGACAAAGAGAATCTTTTCAGCAACCTTTCTTGTAACATGAGAGACTGCAGGAAGGTTGTTCTACTCTTTCCCTCCAATGTTGCAATTTACTTGACTTGCTAGGGTTCCTGAGTGGATGCCTCATCATCACCTATTGGTATTTTGTAACTCAGAGCCTTGCATATTTTGGGCAACAGAGCCACAGCAGAGGGATTCAAGAGTCACGTGTGGCTCCGGAGCCGCGGGATGCCGACCTCTGCTATAGACCAATACACTGTCCGATGGTTTAGGGCATGGTTGACTGACCAAAAGCAGAGGGTAACTATTACTGGGGAATCATCAGGATGGCGACCAGTGGCCCCTCTGTCCTGGGGCCACTCCTGTTTAACCTTTTCATCGTGACATGGAAGAAGGGGTGAACAGTGTGCTGATCAAATTTGCAGAGGATACTAAAACTGGGGTAGTGACCACAAATGAGGAGCAGGTACTCCAGATCCAAAAGTATCTGGACAGAATATGGAAGTGGGCAGGAGACAACAGGATGGCGTTCAGTGTGGATAAGTGCAAGGTCTTGCACTTGGGGCATAGGAATGGGTGTCATAAGAGCAGGTTAGGGAACAAGTGGCTGGAGAGCAGTACTTGTGAAAGGGACCTCGGGGTGCTGGTTGACTGCAGGCTAAACATGAGTCAGCTGTGTGATGCGGTGGTCAAGAGGGCGAATGCCACCCTTGGTTGCATAGCCAGAAGTGTGACTTCTATATCAAGAGAGAGATTACTAGCACTCTATACGACTCTGGTGCACCTGCAACTGGAGTATTGTGCTCAGTTTTGGAGTCCTCATTACAGGAAGGATATAGCCAGGTTAGAGTCAGTGCAGCGTAGGGCCACAAGGTTGGTGGGCAGTTTGCAGGGGAGGCTGTGTGAGGTGAGACTGAGGGAACTGGGTCTTTTCAGCCTGCAGAAGAGGAGACTCAGAGGGGATCTGTTGGTGACTTACAGGTATGTGAGGGGGTGTCACACGGAGTTGGGTAGAGACCTGTACTCCCCCACAGAGGAAGGCAGGACATGCTCCAATGGAGGAAACCAAGGTTGTGGCCCTATGCTGCACAGAAGGGGCCTTCTGGGTCATCTAGTCTGACCCCCTGGCTCCAGCTGGCTCTGCTTACATGCCCACCATGTGCATGTCCAGCCTATCCTTGAACACCCTCACCGATGGGGTCTCAACCACCTCCCGTGGAAGCCCATTCCATACCCTCGGGGCCCTAACTGTCAGGAAGTGCTTCCTGACATCTAAAGTAAACCTGGGTTCCCTGAGCTTTGCTCCGTTGGAGCGCGTCCTGCCCTCCTCTGCAGGGGAGAACAGAAACAGGTCCTGCAAGCCAGAAGTCTGCCCACTCCTAATTAAACTCCCATTTATTTTTGTGGCATTAAACAAATGCAGAAGTGCCGGGAGGGGGGATTGCAGTATCTGTGAACAAGAAGCATTTGTTCTCTAGATGTGGCTTGATTTTAAACGAGCTGAACAGAATAGTTATCATTTCAATGGGAATTGCATACAATCCATTTCTGCTAGACTGTGTTCAGTGGACATTCCACAAAGACAGTGACCTGACTCCATATACACACAGGTTTGGCTTTTTTGCCTGCCCCTGCTCTTTGCACAAACCCCTCCAGCAGCCTGACACAGCAGGCAGTGGTGGGGGCTGGTCTGGGACTTCTAGAGCAGGCCTGATGATCAGATCTAGGGCAAATGAACACATTCCTAAAAAGGCTTTCAAATTTTGCAATTGTTTATGGCAGATTAAAAGGTAAAGGTAAAGGTTTCCCCTTGACATTAAGTCCAGTCATGCCTGACTCTAGGGGGCAGTGCTCATCTCCGTTTCCTAGCCGAAACGTTTGTCCGCAGACAGTCTCCGTGGTCATGTGGCCAGCATGACTAAACACCGAAGCGCACGGAATGCTATTACCTGCCCACCGAAGTGGTACCTTTTTATCTACTTGCATTTGCATGCTTTCAAACTGCAAGGTTGGCAGGAGCTGGAACGGAGCAACGGGAACTCACTCCGTTGTGCAGATTCGAACCGGCGACCTTTCGATCTACCAGCCCAGCAGCACAGCGATTTAAACCACTGCGCCACCTGTATGGCAGATTAGTACAGATTAAATCTGAGAATGAGGACAGTTAATCAAGCAGAGGTTGACTAGTTCTTTCCTTTTCTTTGATGAGGTTCCCACCTCAATCTTTTCTCAGACTGTCTGCAGTTCTAAAGGCTGAAGGTGGCATTTCAGGGGACTGCAGACCTTTTCTTAAAGCTCATGACAGTTGTCAGTTGTACACCACCGTATTTCCATAATTGCCTGTGCCATCCAAACCAGGTGATTAGTCTCCAAGCCAACCCAGAACCCTGGGGTGCAGGGTAGCTTGGTTTGCCACCCAGTTCCCTGGGTATGGACAACACAGCAAGCAGTGCACAGCATGGGCCATGAAGGAAGCCCAGGCCTAATTAGCTTGTGGCACGTGTCATCCAAACCTGGCAATGTGTGTGGCAAGGGTGGCTTCAAAACCACCCCAGAACCCAGGGCTTGTTGCACAGTTCAAATCAAGTTTACTTCCCAGTAACTGTGCACAGGATTGTAGTCATATTCCAATCTTAAGTTAATTATGAGATTTTATTAGAGTTGCTTTTAACTAGGCTGTTCATTCTTTTGAGTATACATAATTACTGTACACTGCTGTTGGTTTTTACTTTGATTTTAAATTGCACTTTTAATTTCTTTAAAAATAATATGTTTTATTGTGCTGTATTTTATTATTTTAATTGTTGTGAATCATGCAGAGCACTTCAGCTCTTGGCCAGTATAGAAATGAAATAAGAAAATATTAGAATAGCTTGATGTTAATATCCATCTATCTATCCATGCTGTGGGGTGATTATGAATTCTGCTTGTAGGCATGACTAAGGGGTCTATAATGATGAACTCCTGAACCTCAACATTTACTTAGGAAGCCAGGAAAAGCCAGCATTTACTTATGTTAGGAAAAGCTTCACCTACTTTGAAAGGGAGACAACCACAGTCCTGCTACTAGTGTTGTCAGCACGTAAGACAACTGTTCACTTTTGGTGAAAGAAATGCTCTGCAGTAGCATCAGATTTCCCTGAAGTGAAATCTGGGCATGGCATGGGATTGAGTTGCCTCTGCCCACTCTGCAACCAAGTTTGCTTCTTGTACAGGAAAGGTGCAGGATCCACAAAAGTGGGCAAAACACACAACTAACTCTGGCAGAAAAAGCTCTGCACGCTTGATTTCTGCACTGCAATCCACTAGCTCCTAGATGACCTTCCCTGACATTTCCTGCAGAGCAGAGCCACCAGACAGACCGGTTGAGCAAGAGGGTAGCAAGGTAACACCACCACCATCTATGCACTGCAAAGCCAGCCCTTCCACCAACTCGACCGGGCATATTTGTGTGCCAGTGCATATCATGCAACATGGGCACTAACGTAAAAAAGGGCACTGTTTAACCTTTCTTTAAAAACAGTGAACCACCTCTAATATATTTTTCAAATAGTGTGGCTCTGTATTTGTTGGATATGTCTTGCCACTGACAGATTTGCAATAGGGAAAAAAATCCTTAATATGGGGACTCTATCAACTTTCAACTATACATACCAACCAGCTTCAGAAGTTGCCATGGGGCACAATACCCTAATCTTTTTGTCTACAGGGCTCGTGGGAATCCTGGGGTGATGTCTCCATTTGTAAAGTCCCAACACCTGCTCCCCTATTCTGAGCTATTTCTCTCTTCACACTCCCTTTCCATTTTTCCTTAAAATATTTTTCTGCATGTATACACATATATACTCAGTTTCTTATTCCATGTTACTGGTATACAAACAAACAAGTGCCTAGCCTCTCTCCTGCATAGGCAAAGGTACTGTAAAGGCAAATCCAGGGGCTTGAATGCAATCCTTCTCTCTTCACAGAAGGGTGTGTGTGAGAGAGGAGGCAAAGTGAACAGAAGTTAGGGTGCTGTGTTTAGGCTTTGCTTGATTTTCTATCTTCTCACTCAGGTCAGCATCAGTTTTGCCCATCTGACAGCCTCCAGATGTTTTGGCTACAGTTCTCAGCATTCCTGGCCATTGGGCATGCTAGCTGGGAGTCGACGGCCAAACACCCGGAGAGCACAAAACTGGGGGGTGCTGCTCTGTAGTACCACATATCTCAAGGTGCACCGTGCCCATCCTCCTCACTTCCAAGCTTCTCCACCCAACGCTCTCGTTCTCCTTTGCACCAGGGAGCAGGGCATGGCGAGCGGAGAGCGCCCACCGGCCTTTGCTGAGGCCCACAGCGCCACCACACACGTTATCTACGCAGAAGGAAGCCCCGCGGAGTTCAGAAAGGCTTATCGCAGGTAGGTACGGACCGCGGTGCAGCCTTAGGGACTTTCCTCTTTTCCATAAGTCTCGTCCACTCCCAACTTCAGAGTGGACACGCACCGCACTGCCTTTTGCCTTGGATCATTTAAACAGATTTGCAAGGCTCTGTACAACCGCTTTACAATTTTACAACCGTTGCTTCTTGCAGTATTCCCGCTGCAGCCTTGAGCCACTCGGATTGACGGAAGGGCGAAAAGGAGACAGGAAGGCAGGGCGTCCGTATGAATGACCTTGAGTTAGATCCGACGCGAAGAGACCCCCAGCAGAGTCGTGCACCAGAGGGAGTCCGGCGACTGCAGGGGGCGGCAGATAAGCAGCACGTGCCGAAATCCCCACCGCTGCGTGGCTCCTACTGTTTCCCGTGCGCATCGGCTAATCCCGCCCCGCCTGCCCCCGCCCCCGTACCATCGCCATCTCCACTTTGCTCATCCTCCTCCGGTCTCCTCTGCAGCCGGTTCCTGGCTGTGTCTCGCGCCTGGAGTAAAGTGGGCGCCAGCGGGCCGACCGTAGCTGTTGGAAGGAGGAGCTGCGTCTCCTACTGCCCTGGCTGGGAACCTCTTTATCCAGCCCTCTGACTCCATGCCAGGGGGAGGGAACCACGCAAATCACCCGGGCAAGGGGACGGCAGCCTTGTAGTGGGCTGGATGGAGTAAGGAACATGATCCCCAGGAAAGCAGAGGAGCATCATTAGACGACCTCCCCCCGCACCCCCGCAAGATCCTTAGGGAGGCTGGGAAGAATTCCTAGAAAGCGCTGTCTTTGTGGAAACACTGGATGGAGAACCCCAGGCCCTGCTGCGCTTTTGCCTTTTAAGTTTACGTTTTATTTAACGGGTAGAATTAGGCTTCACAGATTGCCTTTCCTCCCTCCTCCAATTGACACAAAACCAGGGACATTTCTGCCTGCCTGGGGTACATTTCAGACACTGGTGCACTTATATATTTTTCCGGCGTATATGGCTAGGAAAGCTTTTGTTGACTTCATAGAAACAGAGCTGGAAGTATCTTGACGGTCGTCCTGCACAGTAATGGGCACAAGTCTAGCCCCAGGACCTGCTTTGGATTACATGGTTCTCCAACTAGCAGGGGACGCAAAGCAGTGGCTCAGGGCTGCCTTCAGGGGGTATGTTTGGTGAGTCTTTTGGGTGGCCTGTTCCTGGGATGTGACTTATCTCTGAAGGGAGACTAGGTCACTCCCCTGAGCACATTTCTAAGACCAAGATTTTTTTTTTCATTCTTGGAACTAAATTCATGGTACTATCACACATAAATGCACCTTGACAAATGCACACATACTGCCAAACAGAAGTACCTTACAAGGTCCAACTCAGATCTGCTTTTCCTGCAATTTCCAACTATTGGGTCTAGTCCTGTCCTCGTGAGCAAAATCCCTTCTGCTTCATCTTCTGCATGGCAGCCCTTCAAACGCTTCCCCCTTACCTTCCTTTCTCCAGGCTAAACAGGCTTCTCCTCCAGCTCTGTCAACCATTATTCACAGGACTTTGTCTGCAGATCTCTCACCTCCTCTGGACATGATCCAATCAGTCTACATTTTTTTAATTTAGTGTCCAGAACTAGTACTCTAGTATTTAGAAGCACTTGCAATATTAATTCCATGCCAAACTACATGTCCTGTGAAACTACATTTAAAATAACCATTAGGGAAAAGAAATGTATTGATTGCTCATCTATACCATCTAGAATGCTTGGTGCAATTTTGAGATTATTTTTTGAAATATTAATATTTCACAGTGTATCTTCTGTATTTTTGTGCTTTTTAGGACATAAAGTCAATGTGCATTAATTATGTCTTTTTTTAAAAAAAGAGCTCTTTTACTCAGTAGATACAACATAACAGTTTGGGCAGAATCCTGGGTACTGGGAAGCCTTTGAAGGCATGCACAAATGCTTTTGCATGTGGATTTGCATGACTGCAGCTATTCCTCAGAATTGGATCATCACTGCTCCTGGTTTTTGAAATGCTAAAGGCCAAAATGGGTGTTATGCAGGGAGTCGTATTTATTGTTCATGAGTTTGCCTGCTCACAGTAGTTTAATTTTTACATCAAAATGGGAGCACAAGTAAAAGCAGCTGGTCTCTCTCCACTTCCCTGTTTTTATGAATGGCACAGGACTGAACAAATGTGAGTGTTCTTTCACAAGCCTAGTTTGAGTCTGAGTGCTTCTTATGGCATTAGAATAAGATGGGGATGTTGTACAGAAAGTACCATTAAATGACACGACATAGCAAATGTTTCTAGAACAAAATTGTTGAACTACTTTTAAAATTATCTTAGGGCCATGTTTTATCCAGAAATGGAAACCATTTTTAACCTCAAGCTTAAACAGAGGACCCAAGGTTTTTTTATGTATATGTCTCCTTTTTTATTTTGATGTCTGTTACTGGGTGTATCTATATAGATCTGTTGTTGCTGATTTTATTGGTTTTTATTGCTTTTTTGTTTTTATCATTTTTCATATCTTAATGGTTGTGTACTTTGTTTCAGTAATTCACTTTGGAAGGGCTTCTGCTCTGAAAGGTAGCCAAGAAATAAATATTGATTTTAAAATAAATTTATTTGATTTTAAATAAATATTGATAGTCATTCCTTTTTCTTAGTAGGTCTTCAGAACACGGTGTGTGCTTAAATCTCTAAACATACACTTAAGTATAATACCTAGGATTTTAAGGGAGGAGCCACTGAGACATTTAAAGTCCCTGTCACCTTCCATTTCCATCTACTTGTTTTTTTAAGTCCTGCCCCAAATGTTGTGGTGCCACACTGTAACTTAGGCTTTAACCCACTTCAGTCCCCCAGCTGAAGAGCAGCACCTTCAGGACACCTACCATGGCTAGAGTAATCATTCGACTATGGGCAGTTTAAGAACTCTGCCTTAGCAAAATACAATTACTGTGATGTGTAGGAAATTGTGATTATGGTGCATTAAAGAAATATAGATGGCATATTGGAAGGGTTCTGTAAAGTTCACAGAACTTTGAAAAAATAAGACAGAACAAACTGTGGATGCTACATGGTAGGAAGAAGAGATGTATAGTAGCTAATGGGGACACCCTGCTGTTGGGATGCCCTTCAGTGTTATAACCTTGTTCCATGTTTTAGGGAGAATTCCACTTTTGCACAAATGTAGACACTTGTGTTTATAGTGCTGGTCCTACCATTACAACATGTATCAAAATAGTTGGGCAAATGCACAAAGTAGATTATGAATCAATTTTGCCCCAATGGGAGAAGATCTTGCACAAAGAGAAGAAAGAAGCATAAAAATAGGAGTAAGCAGAGAGCAAGTTAAACAAGAAAAGTAAACTAAACACAATTAGTTGAACTGAGACCCATTTGTACTTTGGGGGATAAAACACATGGCCTGTATGTTTTATCATCAACACCTTACCTTGAGCTGACGGGAAAAGTTCACTTTTCACTTCCACCCATATTCAGCAGCCTGACTGTCTCCTTTGCTGAAGGTATAATGTTAGCTTGAACAGGGCCATCATTGTTTGCCATTGGACCAAGGTAATTATATTATATGGTGGCCCTGAAGGCAAGTGGAGTACGCGTGTATTCAGTACTTTCGTTAAGAATGCCACAGAACAGAAGCCCTCTGTCTTCAAGGATGATCAGAGGATTGACCATCCTACTGCTTCTGGGGGCCTGTCCTTAGAATGTCTTACAACACAGAAAAGGATGGTTATTCCTTCATTACCTCCTTATAGGAAGAGTGTGGAACTGGACACCTTTTGCAGCCAGCCTTAGCATCCAGTGTTCTTTATACTGAGAAAGGAGAGAGATGGCATCAACTGGTAAATGAAAGCAATTGGACCTTTGAAGCACATCTGCATGTATCCATTTCTTTTCAGCCATTTATTTTGCTTCCAGGGATTAGGTTTACATGGGGAAATGCATGCAGGCTGGAAATGGATGAACTGCCAAGTGCAGGAAAAAGGAAGATCAGCCATGGGAGTGCAGTGGATAAGAAGCCATGTAGGGCATTGAATCTGAAGTCTCTGGCTTCTGAGGTGGTTTACAGTTCAACATATTCATAGAACCAATAGCTGGAACATAAACTTTTGCATATAAAGAAAAAAGAAGCAACAGTTGAGTTGTTGCTCCTGAGCAATTAACTTGTGGTCTTAGTTTTACTGGAGCACATTTCAGGCATATTTGTACACAAGGAAGACAGGCTTCCTACCCACAAGTGTGCATGTTTGAATGGATTTCTTTGGAGCTTGGCATGAGTGCAGTCTGGCTGAGAGAATCCTGAAGTACAGGTCATCCTGTGGGTCACTGGTCCTTTAACTGGCACTGCTCACAAGATGTGTCTGACCTCGGTGATAGCCATGTACTCTGGACCTGAAAATGCTGCTGATGGTTAGTCAGTGGGTAAGCCAGATCCCAGAGGACTGATCTGGTTAACACCTACCAATCAAGCTGGGCTTGACAACAGTGGGGGATATTTGACATGTGTTCAGCAAATTCACATCAAGAAGCCCAACCCATACCCAGCTTGCTTTCACAGCCATCAGGTGCCTTGGCCTTTGAGATACTGGCCCCAACTCTGAATACAAGTTGTACAATCCCTGGCAAAGAGTCAGACACAGGGGCAAGTCAGCCTAAACAGTGTTTATTGCATTATACACAGCAAACACAGCATTTAGTAACATCACTTCACTTAGAGTATGATTGATTCTGAGTCCCCCGCCCTGCTCTCCCTCTGGGTGTGCAAAGATCAGGGGACTGATTGTGATGGAATGAAACAGAATCACTCAAACTAAGGGGATAGTGGGGTTGGGGTGCTCTTTGCTCAGGGTTTACAGATTCTGGGAAATAGTCTGGATACGCTTGGAGGGGAGGGCTAGATGCATCCTTTTTCCCTCCTTAACAAGCACTAGACTCAACTCCACCCCTCAAGAATCCATGCTTCTCACAGAGCTGGGAGCTGAAAGGCAAGAGAGCAGGAGCTATGCATTGATTGCTGCTCATTGTGGATTCCTGCCTGTACAGCACAGGAGAGGAGAACAGATCCATAGAACTGTCATGTTTCTTTTTCCCCTTTCCCCCGGGGCCTGTGGACATATGGAAATGGAAGGTACAACTGGCTCAAAGAGGAGGGTCAGTGGCTAGGAAGCACCTTTTAATAACCAAGGTCTCTGGAGCACAGCAGGATCTGAGGAAAGTGGGGCTACATAGGATGCAGCTTCCCATCCTTCTTTCTATAGCGGTTGCGACGCTTTGTCTTGGCTTCTATAATTTGCTGGGATTGACGCTTCAGGGCTGCGCGTGTCACCACATCGGCATCATCCTCCCCACTGTCTTCCTCATCTGTGAAGAGACCAAAGAGTCTGTGCTGTTTCATGGTCATGAGGCTAAAAGGCTTAGCTCCTAAACTCAGAAAAACCACCCACCATGACAAAGCACTCATATCATACAGTGAATCCACAGGCATGAATAAAATCTGCCCTGTAACGAAGCACTCCTAGCCAGAAGGCCACAAAGGGTGTATCACAAAGAAAGGCAGGTGTGTACAGATACCCCAAAGGCATCTGTTCAAGGACAGTGATGCTGCAAACAGAAAGGCTTGTGCCAAACAGCAGAAAAGGCTTGCACTCACGCAGAACCCATAACTGTGACCTGCTAAAGAACACACAGCAGTTTAAGACTGTAGGTACTCTGAGCAATATAAAAGCTCTGCAGCCAAGCAGTCCAAATTCCAGGATTTTAAAATGCGACTTGTATCCTCTGTATGAAGTATGGAAATACATATACTTCCTCTTGCTTTGCACAATGTATTCTACAGTCTGCTAACTTTTTCTGGTTTCACTTGTTATGAGAAAGCCAAAAACACTGACATCACACCCTCACTGTTCACATTCTTACTTTGCTCCTATTCTGAGGATCAATGTGGTTTGGTAGTTAGAGTGTTGGACTGAGGACCTAGGAGATCCAGTTTCTACTCCACCCTCTCACTCTCACACTAACCCACTTCACAGAATTGCTATATTGTGTGAATAAAATGGAGTGGAAGAGGTCTATGTAAGCTGCCTTGGATTCCTCACAAGAAGAAAGAAAGTGGAATATAAATGCAATGATAATCTGGTTTCCGAAATTTTAGAAGGCATTGCAAACACCCAAGGGCTAGAAGTTTTTGTTTTAAAAAGAAAGAAACAAAGAACATCTCAGGAAGGAGAATTCTGTGCCCACAAGTACTTTCTGCACTCCCACAGAATTGTGGCCTGGCTCAGACTACAGTCTATAGCCACAGGAAGACATTAACCATAAGGCCTTGTGGACTGCTAAGACTTCCCACTGTCCCTGCCAGTAGTGCTGAGCTGCATAAAGTCTCCAGATTCAGAGCCACAGGAAGGCCAAAAGAGACTGGTTTACATGGAAGCACTTCACTGTGCTGTGATTTCTGTTCTACAGCCATGTGTCAGAAGACTTGCTTACCCTTTTGAGACTCAATGGTTTACTCACCATAATACATGTCCGGTTTCTGTGCAATGGGAAGTTTGACCCTGGTGTTGTAGGCAGGCAGCCTCCTCTCAAGCTTAGAATGGAACTGCAACAACACAGGCTAGAGTTTAGACTGAGGTCACAGTGAGGGAGGGACCACCTTTCTTTGGGGGTTGAGCAAAGGCACTTGGAGCAAATAGCCCAGCGTTTCACACTGGGGCTATTCCCCTGCCAAACAAACTGGGTTTGAAGTCAGGGGCAGATTATTTATGGAACTGTATAGCACACACTGTTCCGATACCGGGTGAGTGTAACAAAGAGCTTCTCTAATGTAATGGCTAAAAAAAGCCATCAGTTCAAATCTCCCATGAGGCATAAATTTGCTGGGCAAACTCCTCTCCCTCAGCCTAACCTGTGTAATATTGAGTCGATAACGACCATTCTTTCATAGATGGATCACTTACAATGCATGCCTTGTCTTGCTTGCTTCAAATAGAGCAGGGCTGGGGAATTCTAGTCCCAGAGACCAAATCTGGGCATCTGGAGGTCCCCAGATGGCCGTGCCCCTTCCCATATCACTAGTCCCACCCCATTTTCCCAAGTCCTTAATCACTGGAACTTTCCCACCTTTTTGCTGTTTCTTCCTTGAAGCCATATGTTTAAATGCCTCTCCTAAGACTGAATTACTGGCAGCAAGAAGTTTAAACAAAAGATATTCAGACATTTGGTATTTTTGGCCCACCATCCTTGTCTTCACTGGAATGCACCCTTCAACAGATTCTCTAAAATGGAATTTGGCCTCCATACTGAAAGAGGGTCCCCACTTCTGGACCTAAAGTGGTTGCTAATGAATTAGAGATTCAATAAGAAGATCTACCTGTTTTGAATGATGGGGATGTGTCTTGATAGCCAAGAAATGGCTGTTCTCCAAGACTGGAAGATAATACCAATTAGAGTTCAAGGTAGTGAATGCTCCTCAGAGCTAAAGAGCACTGAAGAAGCTTGGAGCAAGTTTGACTGTAGGCAGGACAGGGATGGATTGAGAATTTCTTGCTGGTGCTTGCTGAAACAGGGGCATGCACTGCCTCCTTTGGGACCTGATGAAGGATCCTTAAGAATCTGCTGCCTGAAGAATCTGCTCTCAAAGTGCTCTGCTTGAACATTTGTACATAAAGCAAGTATCTCCAAGACACCCCAAATCTCCAGTTCTCTGTCATTTGATGGAAGCTAAACTCTTTGGATCTTCCATGTTTGGCACACTGGAGAGCACATAATTGCATCAAATTCCATCACAGCTAGTCAGCTTATGGAAATGATGGATCCAATTGGGCATCTCCTAGATGGATCTGAACTTACCTCCACTTCTTCAATTCTCCGAAGAAGCTCCTTCTTATCTCGATCCTTGAGGGACTCCAGCAGGTACAGCAATTTCTCCTCTGCCTGGCTCAGTAGGTCAAGCACATAGTCATTGGTTTTCTCATCCAGGGCAGTGGAAGCAAAGCGACTATCTTCCTAGGGAGAAGAAGAGATGATCACTGGCCTCTGGCCCAACGGAATACAGCAGGAAAGAAAATCAGTCCTAATCGATTTGGCACCTATACTTGTCATGTCAGTGGACCTCAGGTTGCATCTTATTCAGTAAATATATTTCTTTTGTGTCTTGATGCTGCAGCATCTCTTTAATAGAGGATTCTCTAACTGAGCAATTGCTGAGGCTACAATGCAAATAATGCAACTTTTAAACATGTTTTTATCAATGTCCACTAACTGTTAATTTTGGGGAGGAAGCCATCATATGGATAAATTTCATACTGGAACAGTCTTTAATATTTGATGTATGTGCCCAGTTAAATTACCTATGGGCTCCTTGGAAGTTAACAAATATTAGGCATGAGGCCTTTTTACAGCTAAAAGACTGATATTATAAACCTGGAAGGATATGCCCTTATTTCCTAGAATGCAATGGACTGAGAACTTGACAATGCTGTCGATATTTGAATGGGTGGCATATAGATGCCAACTTTGAATTATTCTTATTTGGATGTCTGCACCATACTTGTTGAAGCTTATATAAAATTAGGTTACTGCAATGTATTTTAAGTGGGTACAACCACACCCTTGAATGTGGTTCAGAAACTGCAGCTCGTACAAAATGTGACAGCCAGATTAATAGTCAGGACATGTAGGTCTGAGCATATATGACTGGTTCTGGGTGACTTGCATTGACTATCTGCATGCTTCTCCGCCCAATTCAAGGGGCTGGTTTTAACATATGAAGTCTTACACAGCTTGGGAGCACAGTACCTCTTGGAGTGCCTCTCCCAACTGCCATCTACTTAGACACTATACTCATCCTCTGGAGCCTTTCCCCAAGATCCAGCTGTGAGAGAAGCTCTGTGGGTTGCAACAAAGAGGAAGGCTTTCTCTGGTGCCCCCATCAGGGAACAACCTCCCTCATCAGGCCATCCTTGCACCAAATTGTAATTGTTTTAGCACCAGACTTTATGCTGAAGCTTTTAAAGATATACTCAGTTACCCAGGGGCTTGAGAGGATTACCCACCCCAGGTGATTTTATTTTTCCTTTTCCAGGTCAGTTTTACTGTATATTTTAGCTATTTTAAATTTATTTTAATACTGCTTTGTTTTTATGGTATTTGTATTTTATTGTTTTGTTTTTATGCATTGCTATAAACCACCCAGTGAGCTTCAGCTATGAAATTGTATAAAAATGAAATAAATATAATGTTTTTAAATTTCATAAACACACACATAGTTCATACATATTCACTAATATACAAATCTATGTACAAATACATATTTTTCTTTTTTAGAACGGTTTTTATTGGTTGCTGAAATTTTACAATAAAAATGGATTTTTAACAAGTATGTTTCCAGGGGCACAAAATTCCTGCTTTCCAACTGTTCTATTTGAAAATCCACTTTCTCAGCGAGAAGAGAGCCTAGGAAGCCTGCCTGCTCTTCTGCCTTCATCCCCCACCCAACTTCTTCATTTTTCTCCTCCACTACAGAGGATCCCAGTCAGCTCCCCACTTTGTAAACTCTGGCACAGGGGACTGACCCACACCCTCAGCAAGGCGGATAGGCATTGCAGCAGATTCACACATGTAGAAGTGAGCACTCACCAGCTTGATGTGCTGCAGTTTGGAGGACAAATGCTCCACTCCAGCCTTGGCACTGAGCAGAACCCGGTTCACCTTGTCCAGTTCTGCTTGGGTTACATCTCGTCTCTTCTCCTCCTTCTGCAGGTGGTCCTGCAACTCTTTCATCAGGTTCTGGGCCCTGGGAATAGAAAAGGGGCAGCTGAACCCCAGAAGAAAACCCATGAGCCTCACCCATTACATCTCCCTTTAAAACGGCTGGCAGGAAAGAGTGGCTAGCATGCCCTTGCATGGCTGTTGGGAAGAATGTGCTGCTGTTTCCACAGCCTGGTACAAAGCCTGAGGCTCAGACTCAGGAACCAAATTACCCCACTTTCCGGGCCTCTCCTGAATATTTGGTGTGCTCAAGTTCACGTTGTAATGCATCCTTCTCCTCTCTAAGTCGGAGCAGAGACTCTTCATTCTCACTCCTCATTTCATCTAGTTGCTTGAAAGTTTCTTCCTGAGCTGCAAAGCAGGCCACAACATCCTAGCAAAAGAATCACATGGATCAACAAAGTATCAGAGCCAAACCATCCCAGTCCCTTTCAACTCTGCAGGCTACTTTCTACATTGCTGATATCAGGCTGTGAGCTTGCAAGCTCCACATAGATCTGTGAACTGCCTATGTACATATCTTATTGACCATGGCTGCCAGGTTCATTGCCTACAGTGCATAGAAGAAGGGTTCAAAAGGGAAATTATGAGGTCCAGCAAAGCTTTCTGGCTCTTGTTCTTACAGCTCAAGCACACCATCTTGAAAGAAGAGTGACCCCCAGCACAGGGATGTGTGGTAGCGTCTAGAGAGGCTGAAGTAATAAACTTGCAAAGCTAGTTTAAAGTGGTCCCCTAAAGGACAAGGAACACATTGTCAAATTGTGGCAACTCAGAATGAGGCTCCCATTTGGCTTGCCAGCCTTGGAGTGCTCTGGCTGGGATGTTCTCAATGGCCCTGGAGCAAAGAGAGGTTGAGCAAATGACAGTCACCATACATCTAGAACCAACATGAGCCCATCTTGAACTTGACAGGTTGGGTGCCTTGTGGATCTCCTCACTATAGCAAATGCATTTGAGGTTAGTTCATGAAGGAATTTGTCCTAGAAGGCAAGGCTGGAAGCTTTCAGGGTGTGGCCCTGTGTTGTAGAAGCACAAATACTTACAGGGTAAGGAACAGGCAGTGGAAAAGGAAACAGGTGGGGCCTCTATCATCTGTGGCTTTCCCCTTCTGGCTGAACTTTATGAGGTCAATCAATTGCGCCCCCCACCGAAGCATACCCTCTCCAACCCCCTCAGGACTATTGGAAAGAAGTACCCATCCTTGGTCTTTTGCCCTCTGCGCATTTACAGTGCAGCATGAGTAGTTGGTGAATGTTTGCAGGTCTGGCTCCTGCCACGAATGGACTGCACAGAGGCAGCTTGGCTGCAAGCCTGAGTGTACTGCTGGCACAGCAGCAGCTGCACTGGAGCTATGGTGTATCATGTCTGGCTTGGGGTGCTAATGAATCTGCAGTTTCCCCTAGATCTCGTTTTCTGACTAGACTGAATAGAAGGGTATGCTGGTGAAGGGCAAGTGCTATTCCAGTACATCCTCAGCACCAACGAAGCAAATGCTTTGAACCCAAGGTCACGAGAGAAATTATCTCTTTTCCCAGGGCAAGGAAGAAATCTGTGCACGCAATTTGCCTGGAGAAGCACAAGAACACAGCCTGCTATGGAAGCAGCTCTCTGTGTGCTGACTGGCCCACAGCAGCTGCTGCACCAAGGGCAGAAGATGTTTTGCAGCCACACAGGGATGAGTAGTGTCCTGAGCAACTATCAACTTGTAGTGTCATTAGGGAATGGTCACCAGGCAAGCTGGGGCTGCTGAGTGAGAAGGCACAGATCAATACAGGCTTATACTATTTGGTCCTCCGAATGAGAAAAGAGAAAGCAGCCAGGATCTGGATTTTTCCACTTTGAGAGGAACAGTTAGGGTGGATTTTTCCACTTTGAGAGGAACAGTTAGGCTCATATCTGTTTGAGTTGTGCCAGTTCCCTTAGTCCTCTGCTGATGTTGTCTTCCTGGTGGCTTAGTCTTGGGACTAGAATTTTCCTACCCCTGAATTCCCTACTTCCTTTTAAAAAAATGGCAAGAACTGAACAATAGCATATAGTCTCTTGCACTTGCCTCATTTCTATATTATTGGACAAACCTGGGCTGAATTTAGGCTACCGTGCAAGTGACTCTGAGAGAAAATAGACTCCTCCCACCCCACAACAACTACCTATTCCTCACTCTGCATAAAGTGAAAAGTGGCTTAAAGACAGGATTTGTAGGATACCTGTAATATCATAGGAAAATATTCTCCTTACTTGCCTCAAACAGCTGTGCTACTCAGTCTTAAACATGTTTACTTAGAAGTCCTGTTAAATTCCCAAGTGCGCACAGACTTCAGTTTTAGTACAACACCAAACTTCTCACAATTCTTGGGATGCACTGTCAGCAAAGTCGATGAGGTGAGGTGCCCTAGCAGCAGCTGCAAATCTAACCTGATGTCCACCAAACAATGAATGCTGTTGGTTGAATGAATCACAGACTGGACTCCTAGAGATCTGTATGTCAGTGTGCAAAAGCCCTTGGATGGTGGCATTAATGTCAATGTAGCATGTCCACTTTCAGCTAAGAGGGCAGTATGCGAGGAATCAGGAAGGAAACACTGGGCACAGCTCTTACATCAGCATCAGTGACACCAGTAGCTGCTCGGATCTTGTCAAACGCCTCTGATGCAGTGAACATGGCCTGTCTGGTTTTCAAGATGGTTGCTTTCTTAAAAAGGGGCTCTTTGAGGACATCTTCAGGCCCAAAGAGGACACGTTCCTTCTGGGACTGCTAGAACAGATAAAGCACACTTGAACAAGATACTCGTGAGCCAACAAACCAGTTTTCTGCAGAAAGAGCTATTGTTAGTCTTGGACCTAGTCAAGGTTTTTGATCTCCCTGGCTGAATAACTAGATGCTTATTTTCATTTTCAGACACTTTACTTCTTTACAAACTCTCCTCTACAACTGTATCTATGTTCCATAGAGGTCATATTCCCTGAAGTGCAAGAACATCAATCAACCAGTGATATACAGTTATCAAAAGAGAGTCTCAATGCCATTCTCATTTGCCCTCCCATTGGCTATGAGGAGCAGACAATGCAAATTAAATCAAATATATGCAAATATGCTTAATGCTTATAACTTATAAGGCTCACATAATACACCTGTGGGGACTATTTTTTTTTCCTATGGCTAATTGCAATGAAGAGGAAAACTCTGGAGAGGGAAGGGTTAAAGCTAACCCTCCAAATCCAATCTCTTTCTCTCTCTTCCTCACTTCCTACATGTGCTGCAATTCCAATGACAATGGAACACAGCTGGTGGAATTCATGGTATTAAATTAATTTTCAGTTAAGCGTCTTGTCTACTTTGAGACCAAGATAATGCTGTAAGGGTCAGGAGAAATACAAACTGATTGGTGTTGGGATGTACATATCTGTGAATGGAAGCCTGGCATGCAAAATATCTCCTTGGCTGATGGCCAGCCTAAACAAACACTGAACAGCGCAAGATCCTACACTACCCGTCTTTCTGCACGTTCGTTCTGCGCTCTTTTGTCCTCTGTCAGCTTCTTCAGGTCCTTCAGCTTCTTATCACGGATCTTTCGTTCCTTGTAGATGGTTTCTTCTTGGGACAGGAGCTGCTCCTACATGGCAAGGGGAAGAAAAGGTGACAATACTGCTCTGGGGTATACAGTGAGCACTTCTACTCTTCAACCTAATTTGGACAGCCAAATAGACCTGCAGACATGGGGACAGGCCTGGTCCCTGTAGATCCCTTCTTGGTAATTTTATTCGATCTAATCAATACCAGATCATTCCCAGACTTGTGGGCTTAAGTCATCCTCACCCTTTACTGTTTTTCTGAAGGAAATCTGCCTGGTTGTCATTTGACCAATTGAGGCAACTCTCAGTGCAGAACTGAGAGTTGAATTCTATTTCAGAGTAGTTCTCAGGGCCACATTCCAGTGGTGAATGGGACCAGAGACAAATGGGGTGGTGACACAAAACCCCAAGTGCCAGAATGTTCGCTGCTGCATTGGACATAAAGAGTGCTCAACAATGGTGCTTTCTCAAACTGGAGGAAAGTAACTAGTGGGGTACCTTAGGGTTCAGTCCTGGGCCCAGTACTCTTGAACATCTTTATTATTTAGATGAAGAAGTACAAGAAAAGATAATCAAATTTGCAGAGGATACAAAACTGAGTGGAATAGCAAACACACTAGAACACAGAATGAAGATCAAGGGTGACCTTGATACACCTGAACATAGGGATGAAAGCAACAGAATGAGATTCAGTACAGACAAATCCCAAGCCTCCCACCTAGGAAAAAGAAATCAAATGCATCAATACAAGATGGGGAATATGTGATGCAACAAAACAGAACTGAAAAGGAAAAAGACCTTGGAGTAATTGTGGACAACAGGATAATATGAACCAACAATGTGATACAGCTGCAAAAAAGGGCAAATGCTATTTTGGGATGTATTAATAGAAGTATTACTTCTAAATCATGAGAAGTAGTAGTTCCCCTATACACCCTGCTAGTCAGACCTTGTCGGGAATACTGTGTCCAGTTCTGGGCACCAAGATTTGAGAAAGATGCAGAAAAATTAGAAAGGGTCCAGAGGAGGGCAACAAAATGATCCAGGGTTTGGTAACACTGCCTTATGAGAAGAATCTGAGATAAATGGACATGTTCAGCCTTGAGAAGAGAAGATTGAGTGGGGACATGATATCCCTCTATAAGTATCTCAAAGGTTATCACAAAGAGGAAGGTCAGGATCTCTTCTCGCTGATATCAGAGTGTAGGACATGGAATAATCAAGTCAAGCTGCAACAACCATGATTCAGGCTAGCAATACGACAGTGGAGCTGTTACCTAGAGAGGTTGAGGATTCTCCCACACTAGAGACATTCAAAAAGAAACTGGACAGTCATTTGAGTAGGGTGGTGTAAATTTGTGTCCAGGAACAGCAGGGGGTTGGACCCAATGGCCTTCATGGCCCCTTTCAACTCTACTATTTACGATTCTTACCACCAGTAACCAAGTCTTATGAGAAGTATTTCAATATTTTAGAGTAGGAAAAACTACATCAAAACTGAGAAATCACCAAACCATGAGCGGTCAAGTTAGAATGGGTAGGATCAGGGGAAGAGGGCAGGCCTGTCTGGGAAGCACTGGAGGACCAGAACTTGAAGAGGCCAATTTGTCCCTGGACCTAGAGCTTCTGCACCCATGCAGTAAAGAAAACCTACAGGTATGTATCAGAGATGAAGCATTTGTCACACAAGCAAAACATCTGCTACTGGCTAGCTGAGGGAGCACAGGGCAGGCCTCCTGGCACACAGCTCTCTGCTCCAACACCTTGCTGCTGTCTTGCAGCATCTGCTGCCTGAAGCAACTTCCTCACCCTGCCTATAACGCTAGGGCCGGCCCCAATTCCACACTGCATCAACCTCTTACCCTGGCTGTGTCACGAGCATGTTGTGCATCTGCATTCACGATTTCCAGTTCACTGAGCTCATGACGCAGACGTAAGATCTCAGATTCTAGAGCATCCAGCTTGTTCTGGAAGTGCAGGCTCTGCTCCTAGAAAGGGGATGAGTGATGTCAGATTGAATTATGGAGCAATCTGCCTTGAGGCCTCAGCACTCCCCAGTTCATAAGAGGCTATGCTCAATTATTGCAGCAGAAACAACCAAAGGCCCCAAGGATATGAGACTTTTAGGCCTTTTTGGACTGGCCCCTGGCCAGGCCCAGTATAAAACAGCATGGTTGCCTCTTGGTGACCGAGTAACCAGGAAACAGGTGCTAAAATACATCTTCTTTCTCCAAGATAGTAAGAAACAAGTTAGAGGGGAGCACTCTTCTCCGTAACAGGCTAGGAACCCAGGAAATCTGGGTATTAGTCCCCACTTGGCCACAAAGCTCAGTGGGTGCCTTAGGGCTAGTCACTGGCTCTCACCCTAACTTACTTTACAGAGTTGTTGTGAGGATAAGACTGAGAAGGGTGAGGGGGTTATGTAAGCTGCCTTGAGTTCCTTGAAGGAAAAAGGTGTGATATAAATTGATTAAATAAATGTGCATCCTACCTGCATATGTTCTTTTAGTTTCTGGTACATGGTGGTGATACGTTCGGCCTCCTCAGTTTTGAACCGGGCCTTTTCCAGCCGGTTCTCCAGTGTACGCAGAGTCTGGATGGGAAGGACAGCACACTGAGCTGGAAGCGAGGAGACTGAAAAGCCTCTAAACCTCAGCCAGTTTAAATATGACTTCAAGTACTGAACAGCTGCAACTCATTATTCCATGGTTCATCTCTGCCCAGGAGTCTGATCTTTCCTTCCCTGGCTCTTTTAGACAGGAGACTGACTGATGACCATGCTATGCTCTCTATGGTTGCATTTCCCCAATGCCATTCCATGTTTTGTGGAATTTTCCAGCAATAGGAACACGGTCGCTGCCCCATTGGTACAACATACCAGGTCCATTTCTTTGTTGCTCCTCTGGCAACAAAGAAATGGACCTGGCATATTGCCAGTTTGGGAGAAAATTGAGCAGATTCTTCCCAAATTTGTTGCTCTGCAAAAGTCTTGGACTAGCTCCCATCAGCCTCAGCCTAGAAGGCCAACATTAGGACTTATTGGAAGGTGTTGTCCAAAATATCTGAAGCATATAATGTTGCTATATATCAGCCCTCAAAAGAAGGGCTCGCATATCATGCTAACTTGCCCCTGCAGTAAGTCACAGTATGTTGGCTGTTGTGCAAACAGCTCACAGATGATTGGGCCCAGAATGTGTTGTTCTTCCCCCTTAGTCATCCTGGTGGTATCCCAAGGACTTGCAGCTGAAGCTGCCTTGTCTCTTCTCCTGTCATGACCATGAACTCTTTTTAACTCACAATAGCTTTCCCCACTGCACCCCAACATTTTCTTGTGAGATCGAGAACAGCGATCATGACTTGAAAGTTTTGAAGAGGAAAATTAAAATGGCAAGCCACCCCTTGATAAAACAATTTGTGCCTCAAATGTGTGCCTATTTTCATAATTTAAATATTTAAGTTGGAATTGAGCACCTATGCATGTGGAAAGTTCTGCAGGTCCAAAAAATGGAAAGTTTCACCTGGGCTATATCCAGGGTGATACCTGCTGTCAAAGCACATTGACCCAAAGTGAATCCAGATAGGGCTACTTTTACTTACTTCATTTTCCCCTAATAGTTATCAAAAGACAACCTGTTAAGTCAAAGCAAAGTTGTAAGTGATCTTTGCTCATGAAATAGGGTAGGTGCCTTCCCTCCACACAGCAAGCTCTTCAGATTTTTCCTAGCCTCCCCGCCCCCAACCTGGACCCCATGAGTCCCAGTGTCCCCAACTTTTCTATCCCTTCCTAAGACTCTGGAGAATGTAGAAAATTGCACCCTTTTCACTGACACTTGCTTCTGAAAGCTGTCAAAAGTAGGGGTTTCTTTGAAAACTAGGACTTAGGCATGGTTGGACAGGAATGTATACATTTCTAGAATATGCAAACATGGCTCTATTTCAGCAATTGGAATGTACTCCTCAATCTACAACAGCCTTCCCCAACCCTGTGCCTTCCAGACATGTTTGGACTGCAATACTCCGAATTCCCAGTCAATGGCCCTGCTGGATGGAGATTCTGGGAGTTGTGGTCCAAATGCCTTTGAAAGTCACCAGGTCGGGGAAGGCTCGTCTACAACTCTGGTCTGGCTGGTTGCAAATACTCGTATCACAAATTATTTCTTGTAAAAATGATGAGGTAAACTAGCATCTCTTAAACAGACATCAATAAAAGTATCTGAGGATTTCTTTTAAAGAATTAACAAACATTTAAAAGAATGAGAAAACAGCAATGTTAAATAATATACAGTGCATCAAGCGATGTAGTCTTATATCTGACAAGATAATCCCCTCAATATTTCAGTTTGGTTACATACTAAGTAACATTTGCATGTAGAGACAAAATTAGTAATAACTCTAAGATATTCATGGCATTTGATGAATTATGAAGGATCTTTGCCTGCAGTTTCAAGAATGCTTGTTTTCTGAACAAGCTTTTATCCATCTTCACTTGAGGCATCACATGAAACTGCTGGAGCAAATCAGACAAGCATTTTCTGACCAAGTATTAGGAATACTGACTTACAGAGAATCCTCTTTAGTCCGGTTACCCATGACCTCTGCACTGGAGATGACACCTGGAAATTAACTCGAGACCTTTTATGTACAAGTCATGTGTTCGGGCTGTAAATTATAGGCCCCTTGACCATTCACAGCCAAAATGTACTGAGCCTATCATGAGGTAGAGAACATAGACTCAATCTGTTGGTTTCTGCAAGTGTGTATCTGAGCGCTATTTGCCTGTATGTACAGGTGCCAACAGCACCAATAGCTGAGTATATCTTATGAGATTCATTTTATCAAGACATTGTGCTTTTTAGACAGCTTCAAAAGAGGACTTCAAAATTCATGGACCATCAGTGGTCACGAGCTCTGGTGGCTATTCCTCACTGCAGAATAAGAGCACTGTAATATGCCCATTACAGGGAAACATGGGTGAGAGGTTGCTGCTTCACGCATGTTCTGCTTGTGGGTTTTCTGTGAATAGCTGAGTGGCCACTACGTGAACAGAATGCTGGACTAGTTGACCATTGGGCTCTTCTTGTGTTCTTATGGCTAACAGAGAACTTTAACTGCAGAACAAGTCTAACCTATTTTTAACAGGAAAGCTCATGAGAACTGGTGTGCACATTAATGTTCTAGAGCCAGGAGACTGAGGTTTCTTTCTGTTTGGCAACCAACGTGAACTACTCATTTCTCATTTCTCTGTCTTGGTGTCCTCATCTATGAATAAAATACATAAGACGCCTCCTAATTTCTAACGGATACATAAAAGTCAAGCAGCTAGAATAGGAACAGAATTAAGGGATAGTGACATAGTGGTTTTTTGCTTCCCTCTTGTGGTATGTCTGTATAACCTGCTAGCAATAGAAGTGAGCCAGATTATGTGTTATGTTAAGTATGTACATTATATCACAGAAGTGAGTACACCCCTCATATTTTGTAAATATTTTATTTTATCTTTTCATGTGACAACCCTGAAGAAATGACGCTTTGCTGCAATGTAAAGTAGTGAGTATACAGCTTGTATAACACTGTAAATTGTTATTATTAGAAGAGGCCCTTCTCCGGGAATCCTCCGTGAAAGAAATTAGGAGGGTAGGTACTCGGAGGAGGGCTTTCTCTGTGGTGGCGCCCAATCTATGGAATGTGCTCCCCAGAGAGGTTTGCCTGGCGCCGTTGTTATTTGTTTTTCAGTGCCAGGTGAAGACCTTTTTATTTAAACGTCATTTTAATTGTTAATATTATTTGCTTATTTTATCTGGCCAGGGCGACTTATTTTATATTGTTAATTTGTTTTATATTTTGAATGTATTATATTTTAATTTATGTTGTGAGCCGCCCGGAGGCTTCGGCGAATGGGGCGGCATAGAAATGTTTTAAATAAATAAATAAATTTGCTGTCCCCTCAAAATAACTCAACACACAGCCATTAATGTCTAAACCGCTGGCAACAAATGTGAGTACACCCCTAAGTGAAACTCTCCAAATTGGGCATTATTAGCCATTTTTCCTCCCCGATGTCATGTGATTCGTTAGTGTTACAAGGTCTCAGGTGTGAATGGGGAGCAGGTGTGTTAAATTTGGTGTTATCTCTCTCACTCTCTCATACTGGTCACTGGAAGTTCAACATGGCACCTCATGGCAAAGAACTCTCTGAGGATCTGAAAAAAAGAATTGTTGCTCTACATAAAGATGGCCTAGGCTATAAGAAGATTGCCAAGACCCTGTAACTGAGCTGCAGCACAGTGGCCATACAGCGGTTTAACAGGACAGGTTCCACTCAGAACAGGCCTTGCCATGGATTACCAAAGAAGTTGAGTGCACGTGCTCAGCGTCATATCCAGAGGTTGGCTTTGGAAAATAGATGTATGAGTGCTGCCAGCATTGCTGCAGAAGTTGAAGGGGTGGTGGGTCAGCCTGTCAGTGCTCAGACCATATGCCGCACACTGCATCAAATTGGTCTGCAGGGCTGTCGTCCCAGAAGGAAGCCTCTTCTAAAGATGATGCACAAGAAAGCCCGCAAACAGTTTGCTGAGGACTAAGGACATGGATTAGTGGAACCATGTCCTGTGGTCTGATGAGACCAAGATAAACTTATTTGGTTCAGATGGTGTCAAGCGTGTGTGGCGACAACCAGGTGAGGAGTACAAAGGCAAGTGTGTCTTCCCAACAGTCAAGAATGGTGGTGGGAGTGTCATGGTCTGGGACTGCATGAGTGCTGCCGGCACTGGGGAGCTACAGTTCATTGAGGGAATCATGAATGCCATCATGTACTGTCACATACTGAAGCAGAGCATGATCCCCTCCCTTCGGAGACTGGGCCACAGGGCAGTATTCCAACATGATAACGACCCCAAACACACCTCCAAGATGACCACTGCCTTGCTAAAGAAGCTGAGGGTAAAGGTGATGGACTGGCCAAGCATGTCTCCAGACCTAAACCCTATCGAGCATTTGTGGGGCATCCTGAAATGGAAGATGGAGGAGCGCAAGGTCTCTAACATCCACTCCTCCATGACAACATCACGGAGCTGGTGGATGTTAGAG